ATGTTTATGTTTCGTGTTAATGTTGCATTTCATTTCCCTTTCCCCCCTCTGGAAACACATTTCTCTCTCTCAGCTCAGCTGATATTCCGAGAGTCCAACAACCCCTTTTTGGGTGAGCAAATGTTTGGAATGTCCCCCTACTGCTTCTGGTCGTCCTTCAGCCAGGACTCCTCAGCCGTCGTCTGGCTCTGGTCTGACTGCGCTTCCTTTTCTTCCTTTCAATGCTTGTTTTTCTTTTTTTTTTTTGGCCCTGAGTTGATTCTGAGTCCTGGTTTTATTGCCGTCTGTTTAATTCCTCCACTGTCTGCTTAATTCTTTGTAGTCATCGGTTAGTTTCCCGGCACACTGTCAGCGTGTTGTCTTCCCCAGTTTTTATGATCCCAGCGAAATGGGAGGATGGCTGAACTTTGTCACAGAGATTGCTTGCATTTGCCGGGATTATTTGTCTTTAATTCCTAGATAATGTGATACAGCTGCTTATTTATATATGTATCTATCTTTATTATACTATATTCTGAGAGGTTATTTGAGATTTTCTTGATTCTGTATAGTTTTGTTTGTTAATTTAACTATAATTCTGTTTACTTCAGGTATAATTCTAGCAATTTTTTTTTTTAATAGTTGACCAATTTCTCTTGTTTTTATAAAAATTTGATTTATTCAATCTTTCCATTTTCCCTTTAAAGCACAGTCAAAGTTTCTACTACTCCCCACAGCTTTTCCCCAATTTATTCTGCCATCGCAAATTTGTTAAATGTAGCAAGTGAAAATGTCACTTTTCTTCCCGCTTAATTGAACACTTATTCCCTAGGAAAATGGAGACAAGAAAATCCCTGCTAAGACAATGCAGCAGCAGGAATAAAATTGTTGAAAGAACAAAAACTGAAGGAGAGGAGCAACGACACCATCTCTCCTCCAGCTCCTTGCATATTTTAATAGTTTTCGTCTGCCGCTGCTTAAAAATTATGAGATTGATGGGAGAACTGGCCAGCAGGGGATTGGGGCTGTAATCACATAACCCACTTAGCTTCAGCCGGCGCCAAGACACATCCCCACAGCAGCTGCCTTTTGGGAAAAGCAGCAATTAAAATCAACTCCCGAAACTACAAATTAATTAGTTAATTAATTAGCTAAAAGCACTTGAGATGAGGCTGGTGTATAAATAGCGGCCCAAGGAAGAGGTCTCTGCTGTGTGTTGGGTGGCTTTGATCACAGCCCCGGTGCCGTGGCCGTGCTGACAGCCCAGCTACAGATGCGGATCCCGGGACCAGATACAGATACTATCTCTCTCGCCCAAACACATGCACTCCAGATTGTGCATAAAAACTCGCGTTTTGTTTACACGAAGGGGTTGAGGCGGCGGCCAGATCGGGGAGCTGTTTTGTTAAATTTATGCATTTTTCTGCCTAAAGGCAAATGCAACTAAATGAACATCAATCACGTGACGCCGCTGCCTCAACACGAGGCCAAGAACTGCAACTGCACTTGCTACTTGAAGGGAATCAACAAAGGCACTGCAGGAAATTAGGTTTAAATTTAAAGAAGTTTTAGTGAACATTTAATGGATGTATAATTTGTTAAATTAAAGTTATCTAAGCCTTAAAATATATATTTTTCTATATATGAACATCACCAGGCGATACGATTTGGTCCTTTTTGTGTGTCCTTCCTTTCATTGATGTTGCTAATAAACTTGTGCAACATCAGGAAACAACTATGTTGCTCAACATGTTTCTAGCTACATTTTCTAAAGCCTTGATCTATAACCCCTATTTTTTTGACATTTTAATTAACAAATATTTGATAAATAATACAAAAATCGAAACATACAAATTATAAATTATATAATTTCTTAGTTTTCTTCAGTGATTGAGTCTTCTTCTTTACGCTCCGTTGCCTGAGACTGTGCGCTCTGTGCATTGCACTGCACTTCCTGTGGCCCTTCGGCAAGGGGCGTAGTGCAGAGGGGGGCTATGGGGAGTGGTGAGGTTTAGGGCCAAGGGGGAGGAACAGAAGAACCTGACGTATGTACATCAAAACTTTCGGTTTTTATCTTTCATCGGTTTGTTGTGCTGCGTTTCGTCCGCTTCGGTTGCGTTTTTATGCCTCTTTACCTTTTCTGTTGTCTTGTGGTTTGCCCAGATCCACAAAGGGGTGAGGAAAGGGGGAGTGGTTGGTGGGGCAGGGGTAGGAAGGAATGCCATTAAATGCAGCATTAATCAAATGAATTTGCCCTATGTGTAGCTGTTACACAAACAGAAAAGATTAAGGATCTTCTATAATGTATAGCATTTTAATGAATTTTATGTTTAAATTATTGAAATACATTATTTTTTAAATATTTATAAATTTAGCTGTTGCATTTACTATTGGGTTTCATATGCTATAAAGCTGTTATATATTTATATATCCAATTTTTTGTAAAAATCAAAATTTAAAAATCTCATAACTTAGCCAAAAAAGCTTTAATTTTAATTCGGAAAACATTCCTATGTAAGTTTTTATTAGGTTAATAAATCTGCATACACAATTTATAATTTAACAAAATTAAAAAAAAATTGAAAAAAATTGTTTTCTTTAAAACATAGCTAGATCGACTCGGCTTTTTATGCTGAATAAGAATATATATGATTTATAGGGTCGGAAATGATTCCTTACAGTGTTAAAAGCTTCTGACGAAAATTAAAATACCATTATTTGAGTCGATAATTATATATAATTTCTCTGACAATTTGTTCAATAAGTCAATACTTAATAATAATATTAATATCATAACTAAGCCAAAAATTCATTAATTTTAATTCGGGAAGCTGTCCTATGCTAGTTTTTATTAGTTTAATAAATCTGCATACCCATTTTTATACCCTTGCAGGGTATTATAATTTCAGTCAGAAGTTTGCAACGCAGTGAAGGAGGCACCTCCGACTATATAAAGTATATATATTCTTGATCAGGACCAACAGCCGAGTCGATCTAGCTATGTCCGTCTGTCCGTCTGTCCGTCTGTCCGTTTCTACGCAAACTAGTCTCTCAGTTTTTATGCTATCTGAATAAAACTTTGCAGTTAGTCTTCTATATACTCTCACTCGTATATATGTCAGAACGGGCCGGATCGGACGACTATATCATATAGCTGCCATAGGAATGATCGGAAAATTTTTACAAAAAAAATTATAACATTTTTAGTTTTCAACAGAATTTGATCAAATTTGAGATATAGCCATTTCATATTATTTTACAATTTTGTGTAAAATTTGATGAAAATCGGACGACTATATCGTATAGCTCCCATAGGAACGATCGAGAAATTAATACAATTAAAAAGTATAACATATTCAGTTTTCAACAGATTTTCATCAAATTTGATACATAGCCATTTTATAAGGCTCACTCTATGTTAATCTCTAGAGGCAACTGCTTCTCTCCCACGCACTCACTTTCTCTGCTCTTCTCTGCTCTGCTTTTCTCTACTCTTCTCTGCTCTGCTCTTCTCTGCTCTGCTCTTCTCTGCTCTGCTCGGGGACTATAAATAGAGGCGCTGAGGTCGCGCGCGCTTCAGTCTGTCCTAGGGGTACCTAGTGTTAACATCAACAGTGATAGTGCAAGTGATCAGCCTTCAACTTCAAAAATATGACGTGGCCAATGAAACACATCTGGATGACTAGGAAGAAGCTTACTTTAGATGAAGTCACCCAATCTTGGTCACTACACTGAAAGGAATTAAACAATGACGTGTCCTTTACTGCGGTAAGTCTTAACCATGACATTTATATTATGTATGAAGAAGCTATTGGTGGTGTCAGACCTAGGTCTAGACTATATATTCCAATTTATTTCCTTACTGCTTTGGTCCCCTTTACATACTTAGAAACTTTCTGATATTTTTAGATAATATATAGTGGCCATATATCAAATTTGATGAAAATCTGTTTAGAACTTGAAAAGTTTTTATATTTTTTCATAAAAATTTCCCCTCGTTCCTCTGTCAGCTATATATATGTTTGTATATAGTCCACTGATTCGTCGTGCTACGATTTATATACTACTAAATTATATAGAAGAATAACTCCATAGTTTCATTCAAAAATCTTGCTCTTAAATTTGTTCCAAAAAACATCTCGCACATCTGTGCATATGATTCAAATTTGAGATATAGCCAGTTCATATTATTCTAAAATTTTGTGTAAAATTTGATGAAAATCGGACGACTATATCATATAGCTCCCATAGGAACGATCGAGAAATTTGAGAGGAATGAGAATGGCGGTGGCTTTTGTCGGAAGACTGACAATCGCGGTGGCGATAACATTTTTAGTTTTCAACAGAATTTAATCAAATTTGAGATATAGCCATTTCATATTATTCTACAATTTTGTGTAAAATTTTATGAAAATTGGACGACTATATCATATAGCTCCTATAGGAACGATCGAGAAATTAATTCAATTAAAAAGTATAACATTTTCAGTTTTCAACAGATTTTCATCAAATTTGATAAATAGCCATTTTATAAGAAATAAAAGAAGTTAATAAATTTAAAGATTATAACTTCTTCAGTTGTCACCAGATAACCCCTTATAAAATTTTGAAACAATTAAAAAAATTTTTTTTTCTGCCCTAGATGGCTAGATTGACTCTGCTTTTGATGCTGATCAAGAATATATATGATTTATAGGGTCGGAAATGCCTTCTTACAGAGTAAGAAGCTTCTGATTAAACCCTTGCAAGGGTATAAAGATATGTTAAATAATTCCTTTAAAACTGAAATTTTCTATGTGTTTCCTTAAAACCCATTTTTTGCAGTGCCTTCTCCAAGCATGCAATCCAATTTAGCTTTGTTAATTTCGCCCAGCGGAAAGTCAGAGATTTGCGACCGCCCTTAACCATCAGTCAATTTGCTCATTGCGACCATTTATGGCCATCGCAATGGATACATGCTACATATGTTGCAGAGGGGATTGGGATATATAGATAGATAGATATAGAAAGTAACTACTCACATATCACGCTCAATTTGGCTGGCGGAGACGCCTCCCTGGCGCCGCTGGCCAAACTTGTCGCGATGCAGACATAGTCGCCGACATCCTCCGGCCGCTGCACTGCCTCGATATGCAAATTGGAGCCGATTTGATAGACACGCTTGTCGTACGCGATCCGATGACCTGGAACACGATGAATACGTAATGGGGAAATCCGTGGAATGCATATATGTAAAGTGATGGCTTACCATTATGCAACCACTCGTAGTGCAGTTCGCTGGACGGATCCGTGGACTCGCACTCAAAGTCAGCGGATTCATTCTCCACCACCGACTGACTCTGGGGTAATCGCCGGAATTGCGATGAACTGGCCCAAACAGGAGCTGGAATAAAGCAGGAATATGTACAATGTGTCAAGAGTAATTGAAGCAATTACGGGTTACAAGTTACAGGCCCTAAAGTATAGCTTTAAATTGTGAAATTCTGCCGCCTAAGCTCATCACAATTATAACCCTATTCCGTATAATTAACTAAAAAAAAGTGCATTAAGCTTCATTTCGTTTAATTAAAGTGGTTAAAACAAATTAAATTCGCTTAAGCTGCTTAAATTACAGTGTTTAACGCAAATGTAATTTTGTTAAGCACTTTGCAAAAGGGTAAAAAGTACAAAAACAGCAAAAACAAAATACTTAAAAAGGGGGAAAAGTCAGCTGCAAAACGAATTATATGATTCCCTTACATATATCGATGAGAAACATGCATTACAATTTAAGCCTTAAAGAACATTATTTAATCAGAATATCAAGTAAATGATTTAACAACTTAAACATGTCTTAAATATATTATTAACTCCTTTTAAAGGTAGAGAAGAGTATTAAGCAACCTGGGTGCTATATATAAACTCCATCACTGCGGACTGAAGTTGCGTGTTCTCAAACAAAATTACAATATGTGTATGAAAATAAAATAAACAAAAAAGTATCCACAACTCTTTCTGCGCCAACATAATTAAAAGCCCGGAGAAAAGGCGGCCATAAAAACGCGGCAAACAAAAAATATATCCCTGTATACCGAAGCGAAAATATGTTTTTTTTTGTTTGCCAGCTTTTTAATTTATTTCATTTTTGTTTGTTGTTGAATGCATTTTGGTTATTATATTAAATCAACAGCCGCAAATGCAATTCACGGCAGAGATATATAATTCAATTCTATGGTCAGGTGTGGCGTTTTATACAAAAAAAAAAAACGTATTTGCATTTTAATGACGATTACTTAATGAGCTGGCAGGACTCGAAAGAGTTTATCCTATCAAAAGCGTTCAACAAAAACCACAAGTGGCGCCCAGCCAGGACGAGGAGTCAAGTGAATGGGGCTCCATAGGATTATTGGCGAACCGCAGCCACAGTCGGAGTCACAGACCTAAACTAAAAGCAATTCAAAAGCAATTATTTTTGATTATACGTATGTGTGTGCGGGAAACCAAAGAACGAACAAGAAGAACTACAAAACGGCCACCATTATATTTGGCCACTAATTGGAGCAATTTGAGACAACACCTCAGATTGTGGGGGACCAGGGACAGGACCCAGCTTGAACCTCCTCTGGAATCAATGAGCGGGACCAGGAACAACACCACCACCAGCAACAACAACATCATTAAAGTCGTTTCGAGGCAGGGAGTTCCCCGGCCTGCCTTCATATCCCATTCGAGTCACATAGCCCCAGCGACGTGTTATGATACACGGCAGAGCGAGTCAAAGCCGAAGCCAAACCCAAAAGGCAGTTGCCCAGGCCTGGACCTCCTCCTCGTACAGCACCTTCTTTGTTCCCTCCTCCTATATTCCCCCGCTGAATCGATTTAATTTGCCGTGCGGAAAACGAGTTCGAGCCAGTCCTGGGGGCCGCCGGAACGGAAGGGAGTGCGCCGGGCACAAAGTCAGTTACTGGGCGTCGATTAAAGAAATATGCGTCCCGCTCTTCAGTTCGTTGCGTCTGCCGTCGCGCTGATTGCGCTGATGTGGGCACGAGATGCGTAAGAGGGGGCTCGAAACCAGGCTGGAGCTGTGGACAGAGCTGGAGCCAAGAGGAGGGAGCCGGAGCCGGAGCTGGAGCCGGAGCAGCAAACAGAAAAAAGTGTTGATGCTGCAAACATCAGCGACAGAGTCGCGGAGCAGCGGGCAGTCCCAGCAGTCGCAACTGCCCATCTTCATCTGTCTGTAACTATACACTGAGGGGAAAGAAGTCTAAAAAAGATCTTAATTTAAGAATTTTTACTTGAAGCGAAAACAATTTCTGTACTTGAGAAGGTTGTATTTCTCTCTTCTTTAAGATTTCTATTCTGTAAGCTTAAAATTCTGAACCATTTATTCATTCATTGTATGGCAAGTTGTCTAAGTTCTTTGACATCCTTTGGATAAGAATAGGTATGGAGATGACTGTGTAATTATTTACAATTGATTTTAAAGATTTCGAAATTTCTCTCAGTGCCTTTGTTCCTTTTCGCCTGCGTGTGTGTGATAATTAGTTCGTTTGTTTGGCTCGAATAACCGAAATCAGCAAGTCAGCAGCAAGTAATACCGGGTCGTAGTGGACCAACTGCTGCGGCTGGGCCTCCTTCTCCAGCTCATCAGCATCTCGAGATTCAGATATGGACGGATCCAAGTGCCGAGTGCCACAAATTGTGCGGCAACATTTGTCGATTAAGCACAATGAATGCGAAATATTGTTGTAATAATCAGGCAACCCACTGTGGCAGCCACTTGAACTTGCCCCATGGGTGGCGTTTTGATTTGATTTTCTGTACTGTGCCGAGCTAGAGGAGGAGCAACTCCAGCAAGCTCCAAGCTCCAACCAACTAAACTGAACTGTCACTCTGGAATGTGCGGCATTTGTCTGGGAAAACCTGGCCGGAAAACTGCAAGTCAACAGCCAGACAGGCTGTGAATGAAAAGTGGAAATGTGTCTGACAATTACCCGTCAAATGTTTGATCTAGGGTTTTCTCTCTCCGGGGATGAAAGATGGACATGGACTCCTGCGTCTGCTTTGATGGAGTTGGAATTTAATTTAAAGACTACAGCAGGGCTAATCATTCGAATGGAGGTTTATTCATTCTTTATTCATGGTTTGTCCGGGGTTTAATTGGGGTTTTTATGTTAGAAAATCTTTAAGAAGACTTCCTTGCATGGAGGGTTATGAGTCCATTTCCTGGCATATTTAAATAGAGTTACATCCCTTAAAAATTAAACATTTCTTTAAGCTCCCTTAGCTCCTTTACTCCTACATCCTTTCAAAATGCCTGTCCAAGTTAGAGACTTTCGCCTGAATTTCCCTATGCCTTCTAGCAAAATACTTAGCCTGTTCGTACAATTTACAAGAGAGCTCTCGAGTGAACTTTCCGACTTGAGGTCTTTAAGGTTGCCGAAGGACGCAGACAGGACGAGACTGTTAAGGGGGGAGTTTTGTAGTTTTGCCATACAGCAGCAGCTGCCCTTAATGTGGGATGTGGGATGGATGCTTTTGCTCTCTGCTTTTGGCCTGGCATGTTGCATGCAGCATTTTGCATGCTTGAATAACAAATTATGACTGCCACACAAAAGGACTGGCTCTCACATACACAGAAACACACACACAGGCAGCCGCATTATTTGCCGTACAAATAATGGACCTCTGTAGCGTTGCACAGATTCTGAAATATGCGATTCCCCCTCATTTTCTGTGTCTGCCGGCTGGCTTTTGTTTGCGGCTGTTTGCCTTTGTGCTACTTAACAGTCAGCAGTTTTCATCGCTCACACACAAACACACACACACACACATGTGCGTTGCCAAGGACCTGGGCCTTGCATAAGAGACCCGATCCTGATCCCTATACCCAGTCCCCGTTCCAGGACAGCAGATCCCTCTTGTAATCCTTGCCGTAAACTATATTTGATTAGCTGAAATTTTCGGCGTCGCCTGTCTCACTTCAAGTGGTTATCCTGATCCTTAAACTGCTAAGTCCCTATTCATTTCAAGTGTGTGTGAGTCGGGACACTGAGAGAAATAGGGTTCTTTAAAGATTTCACTCGAATAAAGTAAGTACATTTGGTCATGCTTTTAAAAAGTGTGAAATAGTTTGTAATTTGTTTGTTTGACTTATTTAAAATTTCTCAAAATTGTTCTCTCTGCATGTGCTCCTGACATTATTTGCCTTCCTTTTCGTTAAGCATTGCTTAGGTCCTTTGCCCAACGACTTCATTTTGAACTTGGGCCGCGCATGTCCTCGTTCTCCTTGCCACCGGAGGAGTCGGGTCTCATAATTTTCCAAAGCGGTTTCCTCTCCCGCTGACTTTTGGCTTCTTCTATTTGAAATTAGTTCTGCCAGGCTCCTGGCTTCTGGCTGACTCTTAATTGAGTCATTTTGTACGCCGCTTGCCTTTCAAAATTCAATTCCCAAACAGCAAGAGAGACAAAGGCTCAACCAAAATAGCCCTCACTGAGTCTGAAGAATAGCTAGAGCAGCTACTAGCTCGCCTCGGGGTTAATAGAGTCCACATAATGGGTGGTCTCATTGAAGGAAGGCATTGAATTAGCAAACACAAATGTTTAGCTTCCTTTGAAGTTGCTCTATGCGTGATCTAGTTGCAAAAGCAATCTCTTGTATCAAAACAAAACAAATGAAAGCGAACGGGAAACCCTGGCCAAATGAAATAAGATTCACTTATTTGCGAATAGAAAAAAATCCCCTTAGATAAACCCCTCAATTTAGACACCCCAAATAGAAAAAATAAACGCAAAAAGAACCCTTTGTATCCCGCTTACCCGTCATCAAAGCCAGCGCCAGAATGTGGACTGCTGCCATATCTATAATTTGAAGTTTTATCCTCACACTCGATAGATATATCCACTTCTGTTCTCAATTAGCAAGTGATAAAATCGAAGCCACACTCGAAAATACACACGCGAATTGGTTATATAGTCGACGGATTGGAGTTTTTACGGGCTTTATGGCTGACAATCCGATGAATACACTCTCGAACACACACGCACACACACGGGAGGCAACACAACCACCAGAGTTGTGCTGAAAGTGCCGGCCACTCGAAAATGCACTCAACGCATTTGTAAATATTCAATATTTGGATGCCAGACGACGACTACGACGACGACGACGTTGACGATGACGACCCCACGACTGCCCTTTTTCAGGGGCTCCGAACACTGGAGATTGGGTCTGGAACTGGGATTGGGGATGGTGATGGTGATGGTGCAATGGTGGTTACCGGAGTCCGGGGCGGTTTTTTGATATTTACTGTGGACACTCAAATTAAATTGCTATTTACATAGTTGGGAACGCATGAAATGCATTTATCACCGAACAAACTCCACGGCTGTTTGTGTTGTATCTGTTTCTGTAGAGGAATAGTATCTCTGGTGTCCGCTTGTGTTTCGTGGTTGTCCCGGGTTTCCTCTTTATCAGCGAACAGATTGACAAGCGCGGCACGGTGCCCGGCGGAGGCGGAGTACGATATCTGACGGATACCGACAAAGGTATCTAGATACACAAAATGCAATGCAATGCTCGAAGACGCACAGATACCGGAGTCGAGCAGGGTTCAATTACCCAAAGGAGAACGCGAGCGCAACAAATCAACTTAATTTGTATCCCAAAGATACACAAGCCAGCCTCGAAACGGCGCGCCGCATCAGCTGCATCCTTGGCCGTCGCGCTGCATCCCGGCTGTAACCGGCTTTTGGTGGGTGAATCTTTCGTATAGTACAACCTGGTCGGAGTCGGGGGCCAGGAGTCACGTCACGCAGCGAAATAAACACAGAACGATTCGGATCGGAGCGAAGTATCTAACGGATCGAACCGAAACTGCACGCGTTCGAAGTCTGTTTATATCTGTATCTGCGCTACTCGAAGTTGTTGGTGGGAACCGGCTTTCTGGTGGCTCTCTATATTAAGAATACTGGGTTCAGTTGGTGCTATGAACTCTCTCTCTCTCGATGAGAGTTGCCATGACTATAACCAGTATTTTGAGTATTGCCTGCGTTTTCAAGCAGTGTTGCCGAGCTGAAGTCGACCTTTGTTGGGCGCGTAAAATTTGAAAAATTCATTGAAATTGAAAATTGGGCAGATTAGAATGTTATATATATTGGTATCTTAAAATTTAAGACCAAAATTTAAGTAATTTTATTGAACAAGCTCTTATATCGAGTTGTTAAAAAACCTAAAACAAGTTAAGCTTGTTGTGTTTGAAATGGTTGTCATTGTTGATTGATTATTAACTTTATAATAACATCGCTATATTTTTTAAACTATAGAAGGAATATCGCACTGGTCATAAAGTCAGAATATGACCATCTTCTTACTTTTAATTATTTAAATCCTACTTAAATTGATAGGAAGATCAACCTCTCCCAAATGAAGCTATCAGCTTTTGGTAATCATAGATCCTGAGTCCATGCAAACCGCCAGCTGCCTCCTCATCCCCCCTTTTGATTTTAAATCTAAACAATAATGCGTCTTAATGACCAAGCCAAAGAATCGGCTAAAATGGGTTGGTCGAGAGGAAGAAAGGGGGAGTGGTAGCTGCAGGAAAATCCATTGGTGGCTTGCTGTTTTACGAGCTGAAACGCGCTTGAAGAAACTGCAAGAGGCTTTTAATTATGTACACTTAGGAAAAAAATACCCATTTAAGAATTAAATTTTTATTTGGTATAATTGGAATTAATTAATATATATGAGATAGAATTTGTACATGGTTAATGTTTTACTTCAAAATATTTAATAAGAAATAAATGATATACAGAAAGGTATCAGATATTTGTAGATAATGTTTATGTATCTTCCTGCATCGTGAAATTTTAAAACTGTTCTAAAAATTAAAGAAATTTAGTAAGATTAAGTAATTTACAGTATTACATTTATTTATTTATGAATCACCCTTGCTGAAAGTAACGCTAACCATCGATTTGAAATCATTTCTTTCGGTGCATCTAAGACAGCCTGCGACTACTGTGCCGATTATGAGCGTGTGCCCCTTCTGCTTTCGTGTGTGTGTTTTCCATTTTATAGTTTTCCGCTTGTTTTTTTACGAGGCCTTTCAACCCCGCACAATGGAAAGGCAACCTAAGAGCCACAAAAACAATTGCAGCAGATCCTTTTGCCGGCGCTGACTGACACCCAACAGTCGTAAAACGCCGTTGCCATTTGTATAAACTATATATCCGGGTGGATGTGGATGTGGATGTGGATGTGCCAGTGGGGTGGTGGTGGTTCCCCTTTTGCCCCGCCCCTGATTAACAGCCCTTTGTGATTATATCTGCGTGGAAATGCGTGTGTGTCTGTGTGTGGTGTGCGGTTATCAAATGTTGGCCATGCCCAGCAGGGTAAAGGGACCAGGGACCAGGGACCATAGACGAACGACCATCCAAAGTTGGGCCCTCGGCAGTGCGCTTTTCCATTTTCCATTCCCGCTTTCCGACTTTGGATGAACGACAGTTATTGATGTCATAAAGTTGGAGATTTATGCCATGCCCTGCCTGAATGTTGGGCTTATGTTTATTATTTCTGTTGTTTGGTTTTTAGGCATGATTTTTATTTTGGGGTGTTGTCGAGCGATCGAAGCAACCAAAGCTGCAAATGGTGTGTTAATAATTCTGCACAAAAGTTTTCCATTCAGAAAAGGGGTTGTGAAAGAGTATTATGTTAATTGGATATATAAGTCAAAGGATATCTGTATCTGCATGCTTGGGAGTTCACATCTTAATTAGCTTTAGAGAAAGAAGTTTTTAAAGAAAGAAAATCCCCCTGGAGGAAATGTTTCTTTGGGATTCTTTGAACAATTTCAAATAGTTTCCGTATCACAAATATTTCTAGGAAACAGAATTAATTTTAAATTATTTTTATGCCATCTAAAGCTGAAATTAATAAGCCAAGTTAACTAAGAAGTCTTTGGAATATTTAGAAACAATTCCTTGAAAAGAATGTATCTTGCAGATTCTTTGAACTATTTCAAACCAAGATTCCTTTCATCTTTCATGGGATTTCCCCCGCTTTATCCATTAGGAACCGATCCAAGTTATTATTTTCGAACTGCTTACCGTAACTCAACGCCTCGCAATCGTATAATTTTATGGAGCCCATCCCAGAGTTGCAGAGAATTCCGTGCAAGAATCACGGAACCGAATCGAAAGTCTCTCTCCGCTGGCAAACATCAAACATTTGGAGGCATTAAAATAAATTTTAGTAACGCGGCCTTTGCGTAGACTAAACAAAATAAACATTTAAACAGCGCGTTTGAAGGTGTATTAATTTTTTTTTGTTTTTGGGAGGCACCGGGCCCGCGTAAACAAATAAGGCGAAAAAAATGGGGGGAAATCGAAGAGTAGGAAGGCCCTGGGCTCCAAACAACAAGTTTTTAATGCATGTCGATGTCGTCGTCGCCGCATCAGATCAAAGGCCTATATACACATATATCCAATATATGTATAGTGTGTGGAGGTGGGGCCATAGGATACCATACCATTCCATGGTGGAAATGCAGGCTGGGGTGGTCGTTTAATTGCACTTGCCGCTTACTTTTTTATCTCCGGTGCGGCATGGAGTAACCTGCGCATGTGTAGTTGCCTCTGGATACTGCCTTTGATGTGCGCTGTTTATTCGAGCGCTATAAAAAACCATAAAATATGCATAAAACGCATAGGCAGCAGAAATAACCAAGAGCCAATTGCGATACCGAGAGCAGGCATGAATATGGAAATGGAAATGGGAATGGAAATGAAGCGATTAAGTGCAGACGCTGGCAATTGGTAGGGAATTGTCGTCGGGCAATTGCGGGGAACTCACTTGATGATGGCCAGAGCACAGCACAGATGACTTATGTTGACATGAAAGGGTGATTCCCCCTGGTAAGAGTTCAACATGACAGCAAACAGCTTTGATATGATCATAAGGAAAATAAATATTGATATATTAATAGATGTTACTTCCCTATCTGGTTTAGTAAATATTTTGTATTGTCAAAGATCTGAAACTATTGAAAATTATGAATTATATTATTCTATTAATTTAAAAGAACTTTGAGTTTAATTAGCAATGTCATACTTGGAATGTCATACATAGGAAGGTCACTTCTTTATTAATATATAAATATAATCCAAAAATATCCTTCTCCTACAATTAGGTATCCTTCCCAAAACCATCAGTTTCATATTAACCCAAGCCATATGGCTACATCCCTCTATTCCACAAATGATCTCCATTCTTAACAGACCTTGTTGAGGGAATCTTAAGAATTCCCTTGTATTCATTTAACAAAATTATCATCCCTGTGTTAGATGAGACACCAGAATGACAAGCTACTATTTCACGACTTTCTATCTTAGGGGTTGAGTTTTTTTCCTATGAACTCTTCAGAGCTGGCTGCTCCTCCGCTGTCGTCATTCGAGGAGCGCGCGCGCTCTGCTTTCGTCATAAAAAGCGCATAAAAAGCTGTTGAACGTTTATCCGGGCTCCATGGGCTTTACGGCCCTGCCAAGTGGGCACCGAATTTATGTTCAATGGTGGTGGCATCGAGGGATTTTACGATTCTACTCCCACTACTCCGCCTCATTGCTACAGTGCACCCGCAAAACAAAACGAAAAAAATGGAGATTGAAACGATTGCGCTATAAAATTGGGCTCTATGAGAGCTATAAAATATTTATTCTACTAAAAAATAACTGTACATCGGATATATTTATATAAATATATACACTGAGAGACACACACATGCATAAATACGTATGAACTAGATAAATATAAATACAAATAGACTTCTGGGTTGGATTTCACAAGTTCCTTTTTTGATTTCCCACAACAACAAAACGGAGTAACACTCGAAGGGAGAGGGAGAGAACGAGGGGCAGGGAAAAGGGCACGGGACCGAGATCATGGAAAGTTTCTCTCAGGAGCTAATACTCCATCTCATCCTCCTCCTCACACAATATCATCGGCCACCTGTGACTCCTGTTCCAGGATTGTGCTCTCGCGCAGTTTGCTCTTCAAGTTTTTGCTGGAGTTGGCTTCCGTGAGGCAGGGTTCGTTCTCCGGATGGTCATGCTCCTGGCCATCGGTGGGAGACTGCACATGACCATCCTCGAGCTGCACCTTACCCAAGTGACGGCGATATCGGTACCAGACCTTCAATCCCAGGACCAGCACAAAGTAGAGGAAGGCCAGGCAGATGATTACGATTATGATCCTGGTCACTATCGAATTGGAGGCTGATTTGCTGGACCTGACCACCAGCAGGACATCCTCTCGCTTCAGTCCAGCACTGCTGCCAATGGTGCAGCCATAGCGTCCCTCATCCTCCGGCCCCACGTTCCTTATCTCCAGCGTTCCATTTTCCATCAGCGTAAAGCGCTCTGCATCCGTGTTGTTCTCGTTTAAGTATGTTAAATCTTTGTCCCAACGAATCGTAGGTTTGGGTTCCCCAATGGCCTGGCAATGGATTACGGCCGTCCCTGTTTCCAACACCTCGATGGGTCCTTCTGGCGGCACACTGAACTTGGGCGCCACCACCACATTGATGGAAACGGTGGCACTGATCTGTCCCTGACTGTTCGAGGCAATGCAAGTGTACTGGCCACGCTGATCATTGCTGACCTGGTGAAAGATCAGAGTTCCATTCTGGTCGGTCACATTGGCAGGAAGAGGTAGTTGGGTTTCCTGGAAAAGGAATAGTGAAATAATAACAGGATTAATTAGAGTAAATTTTGTGAAATTGTAGTTTAAATTTCTTGAATATATTCTATATTCTACATTGTATTCCAAGGATAAAAATAACCTAGTAAGTCCCTCAAATAATCAACAACTTACCCTTGTCCACTTGATTTGTGGCGCCGGCGTTCCCTGCGCCTTGCAATGAACTTTACTCAGCGTTCCCAGCTCCAGATTTTTAGATGTGGGCTGAGGCATAAACTTGAGTTGCTCAATCACAGTTAGAGCTCCGCTATCAGAACTGGCGGCCACCGATCCCTCGATGACCAACTGGCACTGATACTGGCCGGCATCGCTGGCCAGGACACTGTTAAACTGCAGGGAACCACTGTCCTTGCTGAGTGTCACTCGAGAATCCTCGCGAAGCATAGTCTCCAACTGGGGTTCGCTGGTGGTACTGCTCATCCGGCCCAGTTCCACTTGACGAAGGGTTTTGCTATCCTTCCGCCAGCGCAGGATCACGCTATTCTTTTGAAGATACTCCTCCGACAATTGGTAGTCGCAGGGCAGTTGCAGAGGACTCTGTTCCTTGATGGTAATCGCAGATTGGGGGCCCTTTATGATGCTGGCATCCTCGAAAGATAAGGGGACAGCTGGAGGAGAGGAAGAGAGTTACGAAATACTGCGAGATGAGTCAGTCGGGGGATTTAACTCACCGTAACAGCAAAAGATCAGGCAGAAGAATCCCAAGCCGCAGCTCAACAATCGTCTTCCGTTCAGCTCCATTTCGGGCCGAAGAATTCTTTTGATTTCACTTCGTTCTTCCTTTCGCTTCCCTTGCTTTTTCTTTTCTTTTTTATTTTGCACAAAACCGGTGTGTGTGCTCTTCTTAGCCTCTTGATTATTTGCCGATTTTTAAAGGAATTCCGTTTTGCCTTCGTCGGATATAGTATTTTTCCTTTTTTCTCGCTTCACTTCACCTCACTTCATTTCACTCCGCACAGAGAGTGGATAGCATTTGCTTTATGGTTATTTTTATGTTACGCACACGCGTCACGCTTTATTATCCTGCAGCCCGGGGATCTTTTCGAGCGACTCAACGGCGACCGACCAAGTTGCTGCTGCAGTCTGAACAGGCACAACCTTCCGCTTTCGGCTTCAAACTCTACTGATGCCGCATCGGGCTAATTGAACGCTGGCCAGCGGAACCAGTCATCGCTCAGTTCGCACATGCGCCCTCGAGTGTTCCCACCATTTTAGTATTTTTTGTAGCAACTCTGAGGGATGCTACTATTTGTTACGGAGCTACTACTAATACTACTATTTGATTGTAATGTTTTTAATTTAAACACATATATGTTGGACTTAAAAAAGTAATACAGATTTAAAGAATACATATTAATGTTGCCGAAATATAGACAGCTTTTAACTGGAGGACATGGGTTACATTCATTATCAAATCTAAACCAATAAAACCTGCAATTTGGACTAGGTAATTTTTACAATAATTTTTTAAAGACTACTAAAAATTAGCTAATTTAATTTAATGTATATGCATATATGCTACTTGGCTATAAATACAATTCAATCAATCTCCTTGGGTGTGTGATATACGTATATATTCGAGCAAATCTTGAGAATCTTGGGCTTATTGTCGTGAGGAGTATACTCTCCAGTCTAAAATTGAGGTATGGTCGAGACGCGATTGTACAGCGTCTGACGTTTGGCCACACGGAAGGGGCAACGGGTCATCATCTTGAAGACTACAGCTCCGCAGACCACAAAGAGCCCCAAAAGACATAGGTGAAGAGAAGGATAAACCGATTCGGCTGCCACAAAACCGTGTAGCTCAGGTTGTAGTTTTCTATAAAAAAAAGCTCATATTCTATCCAGAGAATAGTATAAACCCGCTTCGAACTCACCCAACACCGCATAGCCCATGCCAATCTTGGACTTTCCCATGCGATAGGAGCAGGTTGGCACCATTATCTCTAGGTAGCTGTGCTCCTCCTCTTTCAGAGCCTTTAGATCAAAGTGCCGCACGGAATTCTCGTAGAAGTTGATCACCTTTGTGGAGGATAAATAAAGATTCTCGATTCGTGCCAGTGGCCTGAGAAAATGATATGTGGATCCAAATCGCTGATAATAGCCCTGAGCAAGGGCCCGCCACCGATAAGCAGCGGGGCATGCGAGACGCCAATGCGCAGGCGATCCTGATTGTGATCTCTATCCGGATTGTTAAAGTCCAGCAGCATGCGGTTGATCTTAAAAAAGCGCAAACGATTGTCATAGTCGAAGAGGTCCTCACTCATGAATTCGTTCTCGAAGCGCCTCTGATTCGAGTTGGATATGTAGTCACCATTCTCCCCGCCAATATCATTGTCGCCCGGCACATGGACGCGCTGGAAATAAGCCGAGATCATGCGGAACTGTTAGGTGGTTAATAGGCTTGGATTTGCCTGGCTTACCTTTCTATATGTCTTGTTTTGATAGATGCGCTTGAATCGCTGAACATACTGCTTGTACTCCTGGGCGGTGGCTATGTTGCCCTCATCCAGCAAATCGCCCAGAAAAACGATGATGTGTGGCTGCGTAAAGTGGAGAGCGCGCTCGAAGGTCTTTGCCAGGTATCTGTCCGAATCATACCTGGCCAACGGACTGTGCGAGGAGCGATCATAGGAGTTTCCCAGGATCTGCGGATCCGCAATGAGCAGTAGGCGCGTGCAGTTGTCTAGTATATATCCAAATAACAAAGGTAGAAAACGGAAACTGGGTTAAAGAGCGCTTACCCAGTTTGCAATCGATTCGCTGCCAACTGGACTGGGCCAGGTAGTACACAATGAACTCGTTGAAGAAGACCAGCAGCAGCGTCAAAGCCACAAAGCCGCGGCACACTAATCTGTTTCTTGGATTACAGACAGGATTAAGAGGATGCTATAATAGAACCCTGTTAGCACCAACCTATTAACTACGCGCAAGGAAGCCATAATCTAGGCTATCCTACATCGATTTGGAAAGCTTCAATAATACTCTCGGTTGTCCTCTGTCCTCTACCAAATGCAAGTGCGTTACATTGCGTCGATGGCGTCTATATTTAAACGTTCGCAGACCGTGCAATATTTACGTAATTCTGCTCATAATTTCGGGAATGTGCAATGTGGAGCTGCTGCGACGGGCGGCGGTCAACTGGCCAGCACCGCCGCCACACAAGTTTCACGGCACGGGCTAAATTGGATTAGAAGACGGGAACATGAGTGGCGGCAAGCGCAGAGTTTGGGCCCTTTTTTATACCTTTTACCGGTCTTTTAGCCATTCGCGCCATCGGCCATTCAAACGCAGAAAATACCGTTACACTGTTTGCTGGGTGCAAGTACAAATAATTGTGCAATTACGGCGTGCACATAAACATAGATAACAAGCACAACAAACAAGTCTAGGGATGGGCACGTGTTTGAATGTATGACACGGAGAAGAAGAAATTGTTCCCATGGAACCATTTAAAAATTTCACTTTGGAAGGTATACATCTATTTATTTCTCAAAACTTCGATATAAATATATCTCCCTTAAATGGAACAGTTCAGTTTTGTTTAAAACAAACCATGACCATTTCCGTAAATTGATACCCTGTCGTGACTCGGCACGCGACTAAAGCCCATCTCTGACATCAATACACGTCACTGGCAAACAGCTGATCCGATAGGCGTCCCTTAGTTATCGATGACACCGAGGCATTGCCACATTTCGTTCTGCCATCTGGCAACGCTCCGTGCGTGGATTAATGGCGTGCCACTCCGCATAAATGCTCAAGAGTTTTTCTTTTTATTAACAACATACGCGCCGCAAAACCAAACAATCCCGCGGCTGAACATGTGTAATAGCGACAAACACTCGCGACCTTAACCAGAGTGCAGTGATTATCCGGTGACGAGCTTTAGTGGTGTGGATTGCAGCGGCTCGCAAAATTGCCAAAAAATTTTGCCGCTGCCTGGTCATTGTGAAAAGTAAGAAAGCGGCTCCGATAAGCATAAAATGGTGGGAAATACTCCAGCAAAGTCGAGCGTGCAAGTCCAGGTGCTGGATGTCCGTTTTTCTTCGGCTTGGAAGCGTTGGGGAAAAGCGCTGCACCGACCGTATTCGCCAATGTGCGTGTGAGTGCTGTGCTGCGCTGCGCTGTGAGTGTGTGTGTCGGGGGCTGACTGAGTGCCTGTGTGTGTTTATGGCTTGGCAATGCCACCCTCCTCCGATTTTTCACTATTTGGGGGTCGTCGAAATTATTGTTATTACGCTGGTTGTTGCATCCTCTAATAAATCCTGTGGCTTGTAGGAAGCGGTAGCTCCCTTGGCGTTCTGCGAGGATGGCGGACATCGTGTACCCCAACGGCTGTCGGCCACTGGTCGAGGATCTTGGCACTGATGAACTGATTCGGCGACTCAAGGTGAGTGTGTGCAAGCAGTATACCTCCCAGTAAACCCAACAAAAATCCTCCCCAGACCCTTGCCAATGTGCTGCAGACCATGGACCAGGACGACAATCTTTACCAGCAGTACATACCATTGGCGCTGCATCTGCTCGATGACTTCTTCATGCAGCACCAGTCCCGCGATGTCCAGTTGCTCATCGCCTGCTGCGTGGCGGATGTTCTGCGTGTCTACGCCCCCGAGGCGCCCTACAAGGAGCAAGACCAAATCAAAACAATTTTTAAATTCTTCATCAAGCAACTGCACGGGCTGAAGGACCCGCGTGATCCGTCCTTCAAGCGTTACTTTTATTTGCTGGAAAATCTGGCATTTGTCAAGTCTTTTAACATGTGTTTTGAACTGGAGGACTGCCAGGAGATCTTCCAGGAGCTTTTCAGCACCATCTTTAAAATTGTGAAGTAAGCTGAGCGTACCATTTATCTGGGAGGTTCTCGAAATAAATCGTAAATTATATATCTATTGCAGCGACCAGCACAGTGCCAAGGTCACAAACTTTTTCCTAGACGTGCTGAGTCCTTTGATCACGGAAGCTGATAATCTCTCGGTGGAACTGCTAGACCTTATACTTATAAACATTGTGGAGCCGCACAAATCAAACAACAAGTATGCCTGCCTGCTAACCGAGCAACTCCTGACCAAAACAGGCGATGCTCTGGAATCCACCATCAAAATGGTAATTGATTACTATCAGTAAGCTTAGGCCTAGGTCTAAACCAATTTCCATTATCTCTTTTAGTTCTTCAATCGCGCTTTGGTTATTGATAAGCCAAACACCAGACTGTCAATAACAAACAAAATCTACGATGTAATCTATGAGCTTAATCGCATCAATGGAGACTTGCTCATCTCAGTGCTGCCACAGCTGGAAAACAAGCTGCTCTCCACGGACGATGGTGAAAGGCTGAGTAAGAAATCCATAATTAATTAATTTTTTTCCATTATTAAACATATATTTCCACAGAGGCTACCACCCTTTTGGCTCGCATGTTCTCCGAAAAAGACTCGCAGTTGTCGAAGAAATATCAGAGCCTGTTAAAGATCTTTTTCGGACGATTCTGTGACATCACCGAGCCCGTGCGCGTCAAGTGCGTTCAGTCGTCCATGCACTTCCTCCTGAATCATCCGCACCTACAGAGCGATATCACAGACAAGCTGCGGCTGCGGAATCACGACCTAGACGAAATGGTGCGCCACGAAGTGGTAATGGCCATTGTCGAGACTGCCAAGAGGGACTTTAATCTGGTGCTTGAGGCGCCCGATTTATTGGAGATTGTGCGCGAGCGGACGCTGGACAAGAAATACAAGATAAGAAGGGACGCTATGAACGGGCTGGCCTACATCTACAAGCGAGCAATTTGTGAGCCGAACGATCTCAGTGCTGAGCTCAAGCAGCGGGTGGACTGGATTAAGAACAAGATCCTGCACGGCTATTACAAGGTGGGCCTAGAGGATCGCTTGCTCGTGGAGCGCCTACTCATCACCTGCCTCGTTCCTTACAAACTGGCTCCGGAGGAACGTATGAAGAAGCTGTATCACCTGCTGGTGACCTGGATGCCAATGCCACCAAAGCCTTTGTGGAGCTGCAGAAGAATCAGATGAAGACCCGCAACACGGTCAGCGATTGGATCAAGCTGCATCACTCCAAGGAGTTTACGCCGCGAGTGCTCAACCAGCTGAGTGCCAAGCAGGCCACCATTGCCAAGTGAGTTTGAAAAGGATGGTTTCTCCATGGAGAATGGAAATGAATGCTCTGTCTTTTAGATTGCTGCCTGATCCCCTGAAAGCAGCCGAGTACCTCACCCAGTTTAGCAACCACCTGCGCAAGGATGCCCAGCTGCTGCGTTGCATTAATATCGTGCTCAAGCGCGACGTCAGCTGCCGGGAATGCGCCGATACGATGGGTGTTCTCCTGAAAAAACTCGGCGCTCACGTTCATTCCAATCTCTACTATAACACAGTCAAGATGCTTATTGAGCGCGTGGCGTCAGTAATGGTGGACAAGGATTCCATCGGTGTGCTGATAAGGTAAACCTCAAAACAAGCAATACTCAGTCTGATCCCACGCTCAATCCTCTAATTTCACTTGACAGCCTCATTGAGCAGTGCATTGAGGGTGGTCCCATGTGTGACGAGATTGGCATATCGCGCCAGGAGGCGGGCGAGCGCGGTCTCAAGCTGTTAAGTGTGAGTTTACATCATAAAACGAAAAACACCATGTACTTTACCAATTTTCTCCTACTTCCAGATGCTTTCCTATGTGTTCTCGGCTCACTTCTTCACCGACACCTCGCTGCGTCACTTGATTTCCCTGCTGAGCTATGAGAACGACTATGTCGCTCCCCTGGTGCTGAAGACGCTCACCCATCTGGGACGTTATCAGCCGCTGATAGACGATGCTACACCGGTCATTCTAAATGAATTGGCCCCAGTCTGCCGGGACTTTGCACTGATAGGAACTCCCAAGCAGGCAAAACATGCGGTGCGTTGTATATTCGTAAACAGTCAATCATCGGCGGCCACAGATGGAGCGACTGGTGGCTCTGGAAGTGCGTCTACCACAACTCAGACGGTGCATCCCATTTTCAATGAGATAATAGAGGCGCTGCGTCTGAAGCTGACGCCCAACTGCGAGTATCAGCGCACAAAGATCGTGGCCTTGGGTCACATTGCCTACAATATGCCGCAGGCGTTCCTTACGCCTATAAAAAACATGATTGCGCGTCGCATTGTGAAGGAGCTGCTTATCCAGGAGGTTCCAGTGCAGCGGGACTACGAGCTGCCCGAGGAAAGCGACTGGTGTGCCCAAGAGGAACTCCCGCCGGATACGCTATGCAAGCTAGATGCCCTCAAAACCATGGCTCGCTGGCTTTTGGGCCTCCGCACTGATGAGCACGCCGCCCAGAAAACATTCCGCATGCTTGCCGCATTCGTTAACCAGCGGGGCGATCTCCTCGGCCAGAACCGCCTGTGCGGAGCCGAGAAATCCTGGCTGCGTCTTGGAGCGGCCTGTGCTATGCTCAAGGTCTGTGAGCAGAAAGGCGTGGGTGATCAGTATAGTGCAGAGCAGTTTTTGCAGCTATCCCAGCTAATGGTGAGTGGTGCCTTATCTCGCTTCCCAATGAACGAAGCATTGTATTCTAATTTTTCAGGCTGATCCTGTGCCGGAGGTGCGGGAAATCTTTGCGAGAAAACTGCACAAAGGTTTGGGCAGAAGTTTACCTAGAAATTGCCTACCCCTGGACTTTATGGGCTTGTATGTACTGGCTGGTTTAGAGACTGACAGAAAGTATGTAGATATAACCAAATTTGTAGCCGTTAATTCTTTATTCTTATTTTAATTTAGATTGCAAGATCTAGTGCGGCACTATGTGGAGACGGACGTGAACAAACGTCGGGAATATCTCAAGACTGTGGCGATGACATGTAAATACTCGTAGCTTTCTGTGGACAATTTTAATCCAAACCTTATTGCAGCCCCCGACAGCTCAACGGAATCGCAATCCCTGCACATTCTACCTGACTACATGCTGGCCTTCGCCATTCCCGTGCTGGTCCACGATCCCCGCTACACGAACCACGAGGACTACGTCCAGCTGCGCAAGATGGAAAAGTGTCTGCGTTTCGTTCTGGAGCCATTGATGGCAAAGCGCGAATCGTTTGTCCATAGCTTCTACAAGCAGCTGCTGCAGCTGATAAAGGTCCGCGAGTGCAGTCAGGGCACGGATAAGCGGGACAATTATGTATGTACCTTTAAACTTAATACCAATTTTCTCTTCAAAAAGATAATTTTCTCTTCGATTATTAGAAAATGTGGGCACTCTGCGATCTCGCCATGTACATTATCGACTCCAAATTCAGTCCATTCGATGGCAACACGACCACATTCTCCATGCCGCTGGCTCTGCCAGAAATGTATTATAAGATGCCTTCCGTCGCCAACTTCCAGAACAACGAGATCTATATACCGCTGGACGTGTATACGGTGGGCGCCAAGCCGTCTGGAAAAGGTGGTGCCACGACCACGTCGCGCGCGGCCGCAACTTCAAAGAGGCCAGCAGAACCGGCGTCGATTATGGACGATGAGAATCCGCAGGTGAGAAAAAAGGCACATACAATATATCACAAGTGCGATTTCTTACAACTTTGGGTCGGCTTTCAGGAGAACAATCTTTTCGACAACATACGGGCAGCAGACACCACAGAGCCAACGGCCAAAAGAACGCGCGCGGGAGCCGCCACAGCCAAATCGTAAAGGCTGTAGGGGTAGCGGGGAGAGCTGCTTGAGCGAGCGCATACTTGTTAGTTTAGTTACTGTTAGTCTAGGCGCCTAAGTTAACTAAATATTTAAGTCATACGGCGGAGTTACGATAGTTGTTAAACCGACACTACCTACAACATGCACCAATCAGAACCAGATCACTCTTGAACCTAGCTGTCGGACTAGGGCCCTCCTCACATTATTCCGATTTGCAACCCAATTTGTACCATATTCCATTTAGAAAACAAGAGAGAGACACCGTAGGAGTGAATGAATGTGTCGTCGGATTGTTAACCATATCTTTGTAAAAGTAATTATTTATCAGTTGTCAATTTATTGATCCTGTTTTTAAATTGTGACCCCTTTTGGTTGGATTTTACTTTAGTTGTAGGCCTCATTGTATATCGAATAAAAGGAAAGAAACTGAAGAGCATAAGTTGGAGTCCGACGCGTAAAGTAATGAAAACGTAAACAAAGCCTTATTAAGAAATTAAAATTAACTTTTCTATGATCGCGGATAACTTTTAGTTAATATAAATACACCGAGAATCATAATACATAATACATACTTTACGAGCTAGACGCGACGACGCGAATGCATTAAAAATGTATTTGAAACCCAAGATCGAAAATGTTGTAAGGATTGGAATAAAATTATAACAAAATATAAATGAAACAAACAGAAAATACACACACACATTTAACTTTAAAAACGTGTACATTTACCTATTATTACTGTTTTTCAATTATAAAATAAATATCAAATTATTATTTGAAATTCTTTTTCAAGTGGAATTGTCTCCAAATTTAAAATTCAAACACTTTGGCCGGCAATCTCTATCGAACTATCGATAGGCAAGTGCAACGCATCGGCGAGCGTCTCTTTGTTTGCCCACCACTAGTTTCCAATTGCAGTTTTCGGGGGTGTGTGACGTATTTTCTTTTTCTTGTTTACTTTTTGTTTTTGTGAATTAAATCACATGTTTTGTGCAACAAATTAAAGTGAATCGAGTCTAGGGGCGTTTGCCAACAAAGGGATTTAAACAAAGGCAGCTCCAGTATCAGTAAACACCGGCAAAACAACAAAATGCAGCGGAGGCAACAGCGAGTGCCCTGACGTCACGCTCGGGCAACACCAGAAAAACAAAACCAATGGGATTTCCTCGGACGCAGCCAGAAGTAAAACAAACGCAGAACCAAGCGCACGGATCTATACCTCCACTCCGAAGACCTCTTATCCGAGACTCCAGCAGTACGCGGGCGTTGCTGAACCCACGGCAAAGGGGCGAGTGGGCGTGGTGGCACTAGCCTTCGACCCACGCATCAAGACTGCGGCCCTTCTCTTTGGCCTACTGATTATCGGTTACAAAAGCGTCATACTAGCCAGTAAGTGTGCCAAGTTGAGGGCTACATATAGAATTTTTGCTTGTTTATATAGAGTTCCGTGGCCACATTCCGTTTGCGGGGGTGGACACTATAGTACTCTCAAGGCTGCAATTGTCGCGGTGACGCGTACTCATCGGTAGTTTGTTTATATTTTCCGTTTATAAATAGTTTAAGAGCGTGTGATCTCATAGCGGTGTGTTTGCTCCGTTCGCTTTGTTGTTCCTCCCCCCCTCAGCCAACCCCCTGCAATACCAAACGGCGAAATAACGTCTAAATAAAGAAGGCAACTGTGTGTTGCGCATTTCGCTTTGGCTGGAGATTCTCATTTGCATAGATATATATGTACATATTTACCTCAAGTCAGTCAAAGAGTGATTAGTTACTGCTATTTCCCCCTAGCTAGAGAGTGATTAGTTACCTCATTGTGTGCCCTAGGCGGTGATCTTTCTTGGACTTAACGGTATTTGTCACCTAGGGTCACGCGACGAATACATTACCGAGGCATGCATATGTATAAATAAGCAGGGTAGAAGTCCCGCTAGAGAAACCTTTAGGAAAATTCCGAATTTTGCCATTCCAAAGTCGTTAAGTTCGGAATAATGTAGAATTAGGGTGACTCTGGTAATGTTATTTTAAAAAAGAGGTAAACAATTAAGCAAACCTTATATTTTCGATAAATTTAATTAAAATTAATCATTTCTAATTATTATTATTAGATTCACACATTCTCTGTTAGGAAACATGTTTCACCCTACTATAAACCATATATTTCTTGACGTGTTTATCATGATAACACTGATAACACACGGAAATCAATATAACGCCATTCACAAGCTGAGATACTAACGAGCTATTTTTACAGTGCCGTACATCAGTGCCGACTCCATCCAGGTGTGGAGCCACCAGGTGCAGGGTCAGTGGAACGAGACCTTGGCGTGGGCCGACAAGCACCAGCTGAGCGCCAAGCTGAGTCCCCTGTTGTGTGGTCTTCTTGTGTCTGCATTAGCGTACGGAATTGTGTACTTGGACAGCGCAGTGCCCGGCGTAAATCCGCCCTCGCCCTTCTCGCCGCGTTCCAAGAAGCGGTAAGTATCGACCCCATAGACACTGACCTTATGGCATTCGTTATTAACAATTTTGCTTTCAATTTGCAGTTTCCGTGATGAGAAGTCAGCCTCACTGCACTTGGGCTACTTGTGCGCCCTTTCTTGCGGTGTTTTTGTTGCGCTCTTTATGTACTTCGACTTGTATTCGTAGGAGATAAGCACCGCCACTCACTTACTTCCACTTAGTTAGATAAGGTCAACAGTATTAGAGTTTAATCAGCCTCTATTATGGAATTTGTATCACTTTCTATCCGTATCTTCAGTCCTTGTAACTGTGCAATGGTCCAGCAGAGAAGCTACCACCAATGGGGGGCATTGTTTTGAAGCTAACTTAGTTCCTAGTTATAAATTACGTAAGTTACATACTAAAACCCTAACTTATTCAGTTGATTTCTCACCAACAGCTAAGTAAATAGTACAAAATGAAACATATTTCAATGCAGATTTCGCAGGCCAGGCTAGAAAAGTTAACATACATATATTGTCGCCAGGCCATGGGAATCGCGAGAAAACTATATATAGCAATGAATAGCTACAAAATAAATCACTTATGCACATTGTTTTGCATTAATATATATGTGGTTAGATTCTCTAGCCGCATAAATTGCTGATCCCAGTCAATGTCGCTTACCTGGGCGATCTTGAACGTTTGCATACGATTCTCGCCAATGAAATGACCCACCAGATGGATGTAGCAGCCTGCAATGACTTCGAGTAGAATTAAAATATTTAATTACAAATCTCTACCACTTGCCTGGGGTCCATGATTTTAGAATGCCATCGAAATCATGATAGATGCCCTGTAGGATGGGTCCTGAACCCTCGTTGCGCACCAAAAGAGTTCGTTCTCCCCGCTTACCTTCACAATGCGTAGTAGTTTTCCTGAAAGTGAAATTTTAAGGGTTTTTGTAAGGTATATTGTAAGAAATTTAACATTTAACTTGTAAACTATACTAGTAAGTGAAGACCCACCGTAAACATTCCAAATGGTATTCATCTCGGGATACATTTTATGCATTTTAAGGCAGAAGTCTACTCGACCAATTAAGCTTACTAAATCCCTTCCTGGCTTGGACATGAAGGAGCCTGGAAACCCTGTTGGAGCCTTCTCCTCTTTGAGAGGCTTCTCCTTCACAATTGGAGTCGGTATATAGACAAACTCCTGCTTGGGTCGAGGTTTTTGATCCACAAATCCTTCGTACTTGAGCTTGTTGTCCTTCTGGCAGACAGTTAACTTGGTTTGCCTGAGTTGGGTGCCATTTTTGCGAACAAGATCAGCGGCTGTTGGAAAGCTGAGTTTTAACTGCGAAGCATTGCCAGCCAATTCACTCTTAAATTTGGCCTGACTATTAAGCGGGATGCGGGGCTTTCCTGGGAGTTGAGGAAATTATTACATTTACATTTAAATATTTGTATATTCTATATTTACCTTTGGCAAACATTTTAATGGGGAAATAATTCTAACGGATTTTAAACTGTCCTACATTAAGTGGGACCTGCTTCAGCTGGCTGCGAAAATACCAAAGACAGGCAGTGTTGGCTAACTTTCAGTTAAAAATATCGATTTATCGATTTTAGTTCCACCTCTAGCCTTGTCCACGCGAGTTATTTTATTTTTTAACTAAATTTTGTTGATAGCTGGGATCTGCTAGGGAATCGCATTGACCTGCCATGAGCACAATTTTGGAGAAAATCGCGGCCATCGAGTCGGAGGTAAGTGATAGACGCAACAACTGCTGACCGGCCGGAAACTAACCTGTCTTGCATCCCATCTCTCCCCCGCGGATCCACTACCTCACCGTTCGTGTCTTTGGGGTACCTGGGACTTCTCGGCTCTCTCCAGATGGCCCGCACCCAGAAGAACAAGGCGACATCGGCGCATTTGGGTCTGCTGAAGGCAAAGCTGGCCAAGCTGCGGCGCGAGCTCATTTCTCCCAAAGGCGGCGGCGGTGGCACAGGCGAAGGTTTGTTTTCTCACGTAAACTTGCTCCACTTACTAAGTAATGACTCTCCACAGCTGGCTTCGAGGTGGCCAAGACCGGAGACGCCCGGGTGGGTTTCGTGGGTTTTCCCTCCGTGGGGAAATCCACGTTACTCTCCAACCTGGCTGGCGTTTACTCTGAGGTGGCGGCCTATGAGTTCACAACGCTTACGACGGTGCCCGGCTGCATCAAGTACAAGGGCGCCAAGATCCAGCTGCTGGATTTGCCTGGAATTATTGAGGGTGCCAAGGATGGCAAGGGTCGTGGTCGGCAGGTGATAGCTGTGGCGCGGACCTGTAACCTCATCTTCATGGTGCTGGATTGCCTGAAGCCGCTGGGCCACAAGAAGCTGCTGGAGCACGAGTTGGAGGGCTTCGGCATCCGGCTGAACAAGAAGCCGCCAAATATCTACTATAAGAGGAAGGACAAGGGCGGCATCAACCTCAACAGCATGGTGCCGCAGTCTGAGCTGGACACGGATCTTGTCAAGACCATTCTGTCCGAATACAAGATACACAATGCGGACATCACGCTGCGGTATGATGCAACCAGTGACGACCTGATCGACGTCATCGAAGGCAACCGCATCTATATACCCTGCATCTATCTGCTGAACAAGATCGATCAGATCTCCATCGAGGAGCTGGACGTCATCTACAAGATTCCCCATTGTGTACCCATATCGGCGCATCATCACTGGAACTTTGACGACCTGCTGGAGCTAATGTGGGAGTACCTGCGACTGGTACGGATCTACACCAAGCCGAAAGGACAACTTCCGGACTACAACTCGCCCGTGGTGCTCCACAATGAGCACACGAGCATCGAAGACTTTTGCAACAAGCTGCATCGCTCCATCGCCAAGGAGTTTAAATAGTAAGTTGGATGAGGGGTTTCCTTTTGAGAATTTGTATTTATATCTATATCTTTTCAGTGCGCTGGTCTGGGGCTCTTCGGTTAAGCATCAGCCACAGAAAGTTGGCATCGAGCATATCTTAAACGACGAGGATGTGGTGCAGATTGTGAAAAAGGTGTAGACTTCCGGTGCAACGCTTTTGCTTTTTGATTGTTCAATTGAATTTTTTATTCGGAAATACAAAATATAATATTCTGTAGCTTCGATTTTTTATTTTAACAATGTTCTGGTAACCTAATTTGTTTCATATACGAAATTAAATGCATTTTGAAATATTTACATACAATATTTAAATTTTAATTTTCGCGCCCAATAAAGCTTACAGCGCTATTAACACTTAACAACACTGGACTGCATACAATTTGGAACATTTCTAACTTCTGGCAACGATAAATGTTTTGAGCCATTAAAGTGTGACCAATCGTCGAGAAGTTGAAAATCCCCTAAATAAAGCATTATAAACTGAAAACTTGGCGAGCACACAGATCTTTATTCTTTGATATTTAAAATAATAATAATTAAGATATGGTGGAGCGCAAGAAGTTGGATTCCAACGTGGAGGCCATGTCCTGGGAGCCTGGCGACAGCAAGGACTGGGCCACGCCTATCAAGCCGCTCTCGGAGAAGTGGAAACTGTTGCCGGCATTCCTACAGGTTAAGGGCCTCGTGAAGCAGCACATTGATTCCTTCAATCACTTTATAAACGTGGACATCAAGAAGATCGTAAAGGCCAACGAGCTGGTGACCAGTGGTGCAGATCCGCTCTTCTACCTCAAGTATCTGGACGTGCGGGTGGGCAAGCCGGATATCGATGAGGGCTTCAACATCACCAAGGCGACCACGCCACACGAGTGCCGCCTGCGAGACACCACTTACTCCGCCCCCATCACCGTGGATATTGAGTATACGCGGGGTACCCAGCGGATTAAGAGGAATAACCTGCTTATTGGAAGGATGCCTCTCATGCTTCGCTGCTCCAACTGCGCTCTCACTGGCAAATCGGAGTTCGAGCTGTCCAAGCTGAACGAGTGTCCACTGGATCCTGGTGGTTACTTCGTGGTACGCGGCCAGGAAAAGGTTATTCTCATCCAGGAGCAGTTGTCGTGGAACAAGATGCTCACCGAAGACTTTAACGGCGTGGTTCAGTGCCAGGTCACCTCATCGACGCACGAGAAGAAGTCGCGAACCCTGGTGCTCAGTAAACATGGAAAGTACTACCTGAAGCACAACTCGATGACGGATGACATACCCATTGTGGTGATCTTCAAGGCGTTAGGAGTTGTCTCCGACCAGGAGATACAGGCGCATATTGGCATTGATACCAAGTCGCAGAATAGGTTCGGTGCCTCTCTACTGGAGGCTTTCAATCTGAAGTTTTTACCCAACAAAGGGCGCTGGAGTATATGGGTAAGTACATCTAATTTATTCTCCAATTCATTCTCTTATACCTGATCCTTTTTTGTAGGCTCTAAGCTGGTGGTCAAGCGCTTTCAAAGCGCCACTACGAAAACCCCTTCGGAGGAGGCACGCGAGCTCCTGCTGACTACTATTTTGGCTCACGTGCCCGTGGAAAACTTCAATTTCCAAATGAAAGCCATTTACGTGTCCATGATGGTGCGTCGTGTCATGGCCGCCGAGCTGGACAAGACCCTTTTCGACGATCGGGATTACTATGGAAATAAGCGTCTGGAGTTGGCCGGCTCCATGATTTCCCTCATGTTCGAGGATCTGTTTAAGCGGATGAACTGGGAGCTAAAGACGATTGCGGACAAGAATATTCCCAAGGTGAAGGCAGCACAGTTCGATGTGGTGAAGCATATGAGGGCGGCGCAGATCACGGCGGGATTGGAGTCTGCCATCAGCTCCGGCAACTGGACCATCAAGCGTTTCAAGATGGAACGGGCTGGCGTTACGCAGGTCTTGTCCCGCCTTAGTTACATATCCGCCCTGGGCATGATGACGCGCGTGAACTCACAGTTTGAGAAGACGCGGAAGGTGTCTGGACCGCGGTCCCTGCAGCCCAGCCAGTGGGGTATGCTGTGTCCCTCAGATACGCCCGAGGGCGAAGCGTGCGGCCTGGTCAAGAATCTTGCCCTGATGACCCACATCACCACAGAGGTGGAGGAGCACCAGTGATGATTCTTGCCTTCAATGCCGGCGTCGAGGATATCCGGGAAGTGAGTGGCAATCCAATTAACAATCCCAACGTCTTTCTGGTCTTCATCAATGGCAATGTCCTAGGACTGACGTTGAACCACAAGCACCTGGTGAGGAATCTGCGCTACATGAGACGGAAGGGTCGCATGGGCAGTTATGTGTCCGTGCACACGTCCTACACCCAACGATGCGTCTATATTCACACGGACGGCGGACGCTTGTGCCGCCCCTACATCATTGTTGAGAAGTGCCAGCCGCGGGTAAAACAGCATCACCTGGAAGAGCTGAACCGCGGTATACGAAAGTTTGATGATTTTCTCCTGGACGGGCTCATCGAGTATCTGGATGTGAACGAGGAGAACGACTCTTTTATTGCCTGGAACGAGAGCCACATTGAGGAACGCACTACGCACCTGGAGATTGAGCCATTCACCTTGCTGGGCGTATGCGCCGGGCTGGTGCCTTATCCGCATCACAACCAGAGTCCCAGGAACACTTACCAGTGTGCTATGGGTAAGCAGGCGATGGGAATGATTGGCTACAACCAGAAGAACCGCATCGACTCGCTAATGTACAACCTGGTGTATCCCCAGGCGCCTATGGTAAAGACAAAGACCATCGAGCTCACCAATTTCGACAAGCTCCCCGCTGGCCAAAATGCAACGGTGGCTGTGATGAGCTACTCCGGCTACGATATTGAAGATGCTTTGATCCTGAACAAGGCCTCGATTGATCGCGGCTACGGACGCTGTCTGGTCTACAAGAACTCCAAGTGCACGGTGAAACGGTATGCGAATCAGACCTTCGACAGGATCATGGGTCCGTTAAGGATGCGCTCACCAACAAGGTGATCTTCAAGCACGACGTCTTAGACACCGATGGCATTGTGGCGCCCGGCGAGCAGGTTCAAAACAAACAGATCATGATAAACAAGGAGATGCCGGCTGTGACCTCGATGAATCCCCTGGAGGGTCAATCTCCCCAAGTTCCCTACACAGCCGTTCCCATTAGCTACAAGGGATCGGAGCCCAGCTACGTGGAACGTGTCATGGTCTCGGCCAACTCAGAGGAAGACTTTCTCATCAAGATCCTGCTGCGGCAGACTCGAATTCCCGAAATTGGTGACAAATTCAGCTCGCGGCACGGACAAAAGGGCGTGACCGGGCTGATTGTTGACCAGGAGGACATGCCCTACAACGATATGGGTATCTGCCCGGATATGATCATGAACCCGCACGGTTTCCCCTCCCGTATGACGGTGGGCAAGACGCTTGAACTGCTTGGCGGCAAGGCAGGTGTTTTGGAAGGAAAATTCCACTACGGAACCGCCTTTGGCGGCTCCAAGGTGCAGGATATCCAGGCGGAACTGGAGCGACATGGCTACAACTACATGGGCAAGGACTTCTTCTATTCGGGGATCACTGGAGCTCCACTGGAAGCCTACATCTACTCGGGACCCGTGTACTATCAGAAGCTGAAGCACATGGTGCAAGACAAGATGCACGCGCGTGCCAGAGGCCCCAAGGCGGTACTCACCCGACAGCCAACGCAGGGTAGGAGTCGAGAAGGAGGCCTGCGGTTGGGCGAAATGGAACGGGATTGCCTTATCTCATACGGAGCCAGTATGCTGATCATGGAGCGACTGATGATCTCCTCGGATGCCTTCGAGGTGGACGTTTGCCGGACCTGCGGCAGGCTAGCATACTGCTCTTGGTGCCACTACTGTCAGTCCTCGGCCAATGTCTCCAAGATATCCATGCCGTATGCCTGCAAGTTACTCTTCCAGGAGCTGACCAGCATGAATGTGGTGCCCAAGATGATCCTAGAGAACTATTAATGAAACTAAGGAATAAAGTGTTTGGTTATTGTGTAATATTTTATAACTAGAGAGTGTTTATTTCGGACTCAGGCACAAAGTAGCCTGATCCATCCACGTCAGACTTGATACCCAGAACTTCACCAGATTTACAGATAGTATAGAGCAATATGTCCATGTGCTCAACCTCGAAAGATGTGGACTTGATGCGCTGTATGCATTGCCAGAAGGTGATCCGCATGTCTCGCTGCGATCCTGACTGTCTCCTGCGCCACGTCGAGATGGAACACCCAAGTAAATGCACTCTGAACAGCAGCAGGAAATGCAAGGGTGGTGCAGAGCAATGTAAGTTCTAAAGAATTTATATTCAATTTACTCAAATTAATAATAAATTCTTCATTAGCCTGCGATACAAATGATAATCGGGTGGCGAGTCTAGTGGCCAAAGTAAGTGAGCCTTACGATTATTTAAATACAGAATTCAATTACATTAATGCAATTATATCATTTTTTAGCCAGCGAGAAGATCAAGAGAATGCATATGCTGGCCGCAGAACATGGGATCAGCGAGGAACGCCTCTCAGAGATCAGCAGGAAGACGGGCCTTTCCGAGGAACAGATGGCCGAAAAGGCAGATGCATGTAAGTATAGCTTAGGCAGACATTTTTCCCTTCCAAGATAGTTTCTTTAAATCACCGTTTATTCCTAGATATGAAGAAAAAGGGTTATGCCCCTTCCAGTCTTGTCTCTGGTGGAGGCGAGAAAGCTTACACGACAACATTTTCATGCCAAGTCAAGGACCCCTGCCCCTGTAAGTGCTCGGAAAAGGAGCAGGCTAAACGCAAGCAGTGCTACAGGCTCTCCATCAGGCGCTGGATGCCGGCGGATGGTTGCATCTTCTGTCCATGCTGTGGCTGTCAGCGCCGTCCGATGATTAAGGCCGCCTCAGAGATCGCAACCTCTAAATGCTGTGCCGCCTGGATCGTGGTCTGCTGGCCATTTTGCCTGCTGCCCTGCCTGGACTCATCGGATAACCGGGAGTATCTATACTGCTCGAACTGTAAGGCCTTTCTGGGCATTTACGATCGAGAGAAGCGTTGCATCAGGCCAAGCAGGGAGTTCGTGACCTGTTGCAGCTCTGCCACTCCACCCCCCACAGCAAAGTAGCCGACAGCAGGTCCTTGTATTTTGGTATTTAAAATTTTTCGGTATCCCTGTGAAGTGGAGGAGGCTGCTTTGATCAAGTTTACACCTATTCCTTTTTACGAAATAACATAAATAAAATTATCCAAATCATCTTACAGGGAATAACTAACTTTTAGATATTATTTTTAAAATAATTTCGGAATTTATTATGCCAAAAATATCCTTAAATTCCAATAAGCAAAATCGTTTCAAAGAGCCTTGACCCAAGTTTCCCTTGACGCCCTTATCTCGCTCACAAATGTCAAAGTGAAGAGGTTCAAACGAAGTCCTACTTGAATTTTAACGAGGTCCTGTTACAGGCGGCAGAGGCGCTACCCTTATTTAGCAGAGTCCTGTTAGCGAGCGGTCCTAAGCTGGTAACTAAAATGAGATTAGCGGTGTTAAGGCGATGCTGTTATCCCTTTTAAGGGCGCGTGGCGCAAGGATAATTAGTTTTGTCTGCTTTTTGTTTGGCAGTTGTTTAGACCAAAATTTTACAAGGTTTTTGCCAGCAAAAAAAAAGAATAATGAGCGCGGCAAGCTGTTGTTGAGCTTGCAATTTGTTTTCCATTTGGTTTGCTCTCAAGGTTGCTGTTAACCTTGTTTCGTTGGGTTTTCTAAAGGAAAAATAGGGTTTCCTTGATAATTGATACCTAATTGTTTCTAGGCTTTTGTAACCAAACTCTTTTGGTTATTAAAGTTTTAATTATACCCTTATTTAATTTGTATTAAGGACACAAATGTAAGGTAAAGTTAAGCTAACAATGGCTTCTCTTTAATAGGTAACTAAAATTACCAGGCGTTGATTTATTGGCTTCCCTCGCTACGTCAATGTTGTCTATTGTGCTGGCATCCTGCAAGGCAATTACCTATCACCTGACATCGAGTGACGAAAGCCTCAACCCAGTTTCCGGCTCGAAGTGTCAACGTCTCCGTGGTCAATGCACCGCGGTCCATGGGCACGTGACCTGTGGACTGTTTGCGCCACACAGCACCATCTACACCCGCACGCGTCGATGTCCTTGTGCGTCCTTTCAAGTGACCTGCGCTAAAAATAGTCACCCCAGCCTCCTCCTCCTCCTCCTCTTGACCCCCTTCGTCACACCCTCCTCCGGCTGCTCCTTTTGTTGCTATTGCATTGGCTGGGCTATAAAAGTATGTAGTTGCTGCATGCAGTATACAGTGCAATGACAGCCAGCGGGGCAAGTTGCCAGCAGCAGAAGAAGCCTCTGGGAGGAGGGGCAGCAACCGATGGCGCGCACAAGGATGACAATTTAAGGTTCCTTCATGCCCTTCTCCGACTTGATCCTTTTCCCCCATTAGTTTCATACTAAGCAGAGAGAGAAAAGACAGGCAGAGTAAAGTTTAGGTAATTTATTCCCTTGCAGCGTATTTAATTGTAGTCAGAAGCTTGTAAAGCTGTGAAGGAATCATTTCCGACCCTATAAATCATATATATTATTGATCAAAATCAACTGCCGTATCGATCTATACATCTTAGGAAGAAAAAAAAATTTTCCAAATTTTTCGAAATTTTATAAGGGTTAAACAATTTAAATTGAATATGCAGATTTATTAACCTAATAAAAACTTACATAGGAAATCTTTCCAAATTAAAATTAATCTATTTTTGACTGAGATATGCATTTTTAAAATTTGATTTTTTTTTTAAATGGTTAAATAAAAATATCCATAAATATCGATATCAAAGAATGCGAATAAAATATCCTAGATATTTCCAGAATCCTTATTATTTAATTATATGTTGGTATTCTTTGAACATAAATGGTTTTTTATGATTCCTTACGTTTTATATCTTTTATAATTCGGGGGAGATATTTGTAAGATCGCAATAATTTAATAACCTAATAATAATTTAATAACAATTTAATTAATAATATATTTATAGTGGAAAGAATATATTTTTCAACTGATTTTAATAGTTCTTTTTTCGCGGTGCCTCAAACTCAGTTGAGCTCAACTCAATCTGGGGCCACCTTCCGGCTTTGGCTTCCTTTCATGTATTTTGGCCATTTGTCAAAAGTTTGCTTTTTTGCTCCTCTTTATCTGGTCGGTCTCTTGATGTGTGCATAGAAATAGTATATAGATTTAAATGGGTGTTGGCACTCTGGCCAGTTCAGTTGAGCAGAAAGTTAAGCGTTGTCTAAAGCTGCTCTTTTGAAGGGAAAATGGGGAAAAGTTACGTTGATTGTCGTCTGGGGCCGGATATCAATGGACAGATACGAAGTCCGGGGGCTGAATCTCAATGGAACGATTCAAAGTGGCCTTTACCTGGTGATTAGGCTGTCAGTTTATCGTAAATTCACTCATTTTCCCATTAAAGGTCAGTGTGAATTGTGTCTCCAGGATTGTTCTAGGATGCTCTTTGCACTTTCGATGCCTTGATTACAGGACACTGTTACTAACATAGTCAGCAGAGAGAGAGAGAGTATATTAAAGTCCTGCTAAAGTCGCTCCTTTTTAAGCTCTCTCTTAGGATGTTAGTTTTCTTTTGATTGATAACTTCTTATATCCTTGGAGGATATTATAATTAAAGTTAGAACTTTGCAATGCAATGGAAAAATTCTAAAATGTATAAAATTACAAACTTCAACATGCTTCTTTTATTTACAATTATGTTATTTACTTTGTTTGAACAATTTATTTGACAAATTGTAAAAATAAATTAAAATTAGATTAGGTTTATATTTTTAAAAGAATTATATTTAAATTCAATAATGAATTTTGGCAAATTTGAGAAATTTTATTTAACATTAATTTGCCAATTTTTAACATTTAACGGTCAGGATAACAGAGAGCTTACAGTGTGGAAAAGAGGAAGAGCTTCTCCTATAAAAGCCACTGCTCCCAATAAGAAAATGCTCATTTCAAAACCGGCGCTCTTCGCATTCCAAAAGCTCCCGCTGCAGAGCTAAAAACACTACACTTCATTCCCATTTCAAGTGCAGCTTGCGGGAAGGAATTTCAAGTTTGTTTGCTTAAACTTCAGTGCTAAAAAATCACCAAATGTAAAACAATAAAAGCTGCAAAACAAGTGAATTCCAAAAGTGAATAAATATTATTAATCAACAAACAAAAGCCATGGAGACGACAGCCGCGAATTCGAGCGACTCCAAAAAGCCGTTCAAAGTGAGTTTTTAAGTTCTGCAAATTGCAAGTTTCGAGTTAATTGTGATAATTTTTAATTAAGCTGTTGGTTAACAAAGGCATAGACTACGAGAGCCAGACAATGGCATTTTTCGAGCATGCATTATCTTCCAGCCATGCCATGCCCTTTTTTGGGCGTTGTTGTTTTGTGCTTTTTGTTGTTGTTGGCCGCGTGCTGCGTTCGTTTTCTTTTTTTTTGTTCTTTATGGAAACTGGGTTGAACTTGCAAAGAGAATGGCTCGCCAAAATAAGAGAAACCTGGGAGAAGAGCATAAAGCTTGCGTACTTAAGAGCGCAGCGAAAGCTCAGTAATAAACCTTTACTGCCTCTGTTTTTGACTTTGCAAAAACATAAACTTTATATGAATTTTTCATGTTTGCTTTTCCTTGTCCTTTATTTGCTTTTATTTGTATTTTTTGAATTTTCTTTTTTGTATTTTTCATGTCAGCGTTGGGAATTGTTTGAGTTTGGCATTTGTTTAGCCCGTCTGCAGGTCCTTTGTTGCCGTCTAATTTGTTTATCTGCCGTTTAAACAGCACAAAGCCGTTTAAAGGATTTAGCAGGCAGCAGGGGAATTTTAGCGGAAAAATCGGAACAAAAAAAATATGGGTTTTTATGGGGAAAACAGCTTCTGAAATTAATCAAGAGCTTGAAACTCAGTAAAGAAATCATTTTCGACCCTTTAAATCATATACATATGTATGTATATTCTTGATTAACATCAACAGCTGAATCGATCTAGCCATTTTCGGCCCCAAATGTATTTTTTTTTTCAACATTTTATTAAATTTGATGAAAATCTGTTGAAAACTAGAGAAGTTAAAATTGTTTCCCTAAAATTTTCCGATCTTTCCAATGGCAGCTATAAACATATATGTATATATAGTCCACCGATTCGCCATGCTCCGACTTACATACTATTAAAATTATAAAGAAAAATAACTCCATAGTTTCATTCAAATAGTTTGCTCTTAATTTTGTTCCAAAATAAATCGCGCACATCTGTACATATGATTCCCAACTTGTTTTAACATCCCCAGAGCGAAGTGACTGCTGCCGGCCAAGTCTCAGAAATGTGTTGTATTACAAAAGTTGCAAGTCATTGTTTATTAGTGTTCAAAATTAGTAACGGATCATACACACTCACTGGTCATAGATATTTACTGGTCATAGATAATTACTGTTCAGAGTTACTTACTGCTCATAGTTACTTAATAATCATAGAAACTTACTGATCATAGTTAATTACTGGTCAAAGTAAATTACTGATCATAGTTCTATAAATCGTCCGATTGTTCCTATGTCAGCTATATATATGTATATATATAGTCCACCGATTTGGCATGTTCCGATTTATAAACTTGTAAAAGTATATAGAAGATCAACTGCATAGTTTCATTCAAATAGCTTAAATTTGTTCCAAAACAAATCTCGCACATCTGAACATATGATTCCCAAGTTGTTCTAACATCCCCGGAACGAAGTGACTGCTGCTGGCCAAGTACCAGAAATGTGTTGTGTTACAAAAGTTGCAAGTCATTGTTTATTAGTGTTCAAAATTAGTAACGGATCATACACACTTACTGGTCATAGATATTTACTGGTCATAGATAATTACTGTTCAGAGTTACTTACTGGTCAAAGATAATTACTGGTCATAGATACTTACTGTTCAGAGTTACTTACTGCTCATAGTTACTTAGTGTTCATAGAAATTTACTGATCATAGTTAATTACTGGTCATAGTTAATTACTGATCATAGGTCTATAAATCGTCCGATTGTTCCTATGTCCGATATATATATGCATATATATAGTCCACCGATTTATAAGCTTGTAAAAGTATATAGAAGATCAACTGCATAGTTTCATTCAAATAGCTTAAATTTGTTCCAAAACAGATCTCGCACATCTGAACATATGATTCCCAACTTGTTCTAACATCCCCGGAACGAAGTGACTGCTGCTGGCCAAGTACCAGAAATGTGTTGTGTTACAAAAGTTGCAAGTCATTGTTTATTAGTGTTCAAAGTTAGTAACTGATCATACATACTTACTGGTCATAGATACTTACTGGTCATACATACTTATTGGTCATAGATACTTACTGATCATAGTTAGTTACTTGTCATAGTTACTTACTGGTCATACATACTTACTGATCCTCTAAATTTAACAATAGTTTTTCTGGCAGTCGTATTATATAGTATTCCGTTTTTCATAAATCTAAAAATGAAATTCTATAATAATAAAAGATGGCTTTTTTGCTGTGAAATTTTTTGTTGTTGTGTATCTGAAACAAAACCTTAAAGTACAGAAAAACCACAAGGAGTTCACGGAGTACAAGGAGTACATGTATGTAATTGGGTGCACAAAAGAAACCCCGAGCGCCACAAAAACCACAAAGCTATTTAAATCGGGTTCGTGGAACGACATGCAAATCATATCCTTCGTGATGTATTCCTGGAGTCATCCTCGGATATTTATCCAGTGACAAGATCCATTAAAATGTCGCCGCTTATTAAAATAATTAATTCAGAAACCACCAAACACAAATCGGCTTAAAAGCTGTCAACTGCCCCGGCAGCCATGAAAATGCCATTAAAATGGCCAAACTTTTTCATCTCCGACATGTCGCGCTGTAATTAGCAAAACGGCCACACCCACTGAAAGCCACGCATCCTTGCCACGCTCAGAACTTGATAAATAATGTATTAAACAATTTACATAATACCAGAGCATAGTTGGAAAGCAATTTAAAGTTGTCGCCTAATTTCCCCAGCGTCTTGGAAATCTGCGGCGGCCCTACACGCCCATCAAATATTTAAAAGCCCAGCGACTTGTGGAGCCAAGCTACGGCTTCGTCTCCGTCTCCGTCTCCGTCTGAGATGCAGATGAATAGAGTCAGAGTCCCAGGCACGTAACCGAAGGATATAGGCAGACATCGGAGGTCGTTACACGTGTGGCCACAGGACCCTGGGGTACCGATAGTCAAGCAGCTCGAGTTAGTTGTGATTTAAAAGCCATCATCCTCTAGTCTGGCTAAAATCGATTCAAATCTGTTTTGGACACAGTTGAAGGAAAATTGGAAAATAGGAAAATTCGATTAAAATAAAGGCTTCATTTGCAATCAAATGGATGGTAGAATACCAAGAACTGGTTCATCAAATACATTTAGAGTAGTTGTTTCCAGGAAAAGTGGTTTTCCATTCATTTAATTTACAGACTTTTAAATTATTGAGTGGAAATTAGTATGTACAAAACGGTAAAAATACAACTTTATTTCAGTCTATTTACTTATTTTAAAGTTTATTTCAGAAAATCCTTCTAAGTGTATATTGACTTCCTTTCACTAACGAATTTATTATTTTCCACCTTTGTTTTATTATTTATAAACTTCCATTTCCCTTATGCAATTATCCATGGTTTTCCCATTAAATTCAATAACTTGTTTACTCTTTCAGATTGTTTTTGTTATACTAAAAATCACATTTACTTTAGTTGCTTGCGGTTATTTGCCAGCTTGTGTATCGTTTGAAAGCAATTAAATAATAAACTAGAATCCTAATTGAATTGCAACCGTCAGGGAAGAGAAACGACAGCATCTTCTGAGGATATCCACTAATATGATCAACTGAAACTAAAACTTTGCACAAGTTTCGCATGAAGAACTATGCTTTTGTTTTCTATAAGACCCATTTGTCTGATGCTTCAGTAGTTCGCGAAAAGTTTTCATTGCTGCCAAGTTTTTTCCACAGCAAGAAAGATATGATTAATATTTGACGTTGCTTCTTTGGCTGCTTTAAGCATTTATAAGATAATTTAATGGCGACTGGGGAGATGGAGCGCAAATAAAATAGACGTTCGAAATGGAAAAGTCGTCTACAAATTTCATTTAGTCACGGCGCGCTCTCAATAATTTATGAAGGACCTCGAGGAGTTGCACACGTTGCCTGCCCAACGTTTCGGGGCTATAAATTCCGGGTAGGAGAATGCACTCGTCCTGGCTCCCCACCCCACGTTTTGGGCCAGGTCTAATTTATGTTTCGTTTAACCTTAGTGCTGAGGCATCATTTAACATCGCATGCAAGTTTAATAGAGCCTGGCAAAGACGTCGCGTCGTCGTCCTTGCACCGCTCACTTATGGCATGCAGTGCTGCAAAATGCTGACAGGCATAGCTTTGTCGCATAAAAAAGGATATATGTATGGACATAAATGGCAAATATTTGCGCCGCAGTTGGACGAGTGCATGTCAAACTGGGTTCAAGTTCTTGAGCAAAAAAGTGCACACAGCAGGCAGTACAAATTTTTTCTTCACATTTTATATATTCATATATGTCTGTAGGCTGCACTTTAAGGTGACATTCCTCCCAGGATAAAAGAGCGTACATAAATCTCAATTAGAGCAAATGGACATTTGACAGCAGGACATGACGTGGGCGCAAATATTTCGCTTACTTATTCATTGAGTTTTTATTTTTTCAGAGAATCCATATGTGTTTATTATTTATTCATTCTGTTTGCCTTTCCATGGAGATTGTTTAATTTAATTACTATAGCAGACCCATAGAAAAACTAACAAATGAAAGAAAGTAAACTACTGAAAAGTAGTAAATAATTAAGTGCTACGTGAAAGAAACTTCAATGAAGTGGGCTCAGGCTTTTCATAGTTTCCATTCTTGGCCAAGTGAAAAGGGTTTGAGTTTCCGGTTGTGTTTTCAGAAAGGAAATTTACAACTGTATATTTTCTTGTGTTTATTTTTTGGGTGCTGCTCCTGGTGAATATTTTATGGGCAGGCACAGTTGTTGTTGTCCCTCCTCTGACATTAATTTATTATTCATTTGATGAGCGGGGCCATGTGTAGCTGTTACAGCCTCCTCTGAAGCCCGTAAACGTATCCGTAATTGCAAACGTGTAATGGTTTATCATTTCCCTTTCTCTTCCCTACGGCCAGGTCAAGGACGTAACTCGGAACATTAAGAAGGCTGTCTGCGCCTCCAGTCTGGAGGAGATTCGCAGCAAGGTGGCGGAGAAGTTCGAGAAGTCTGACCATCTGCCCACCATCCACCTGGACTCCGATGGCACGGAGATCGATGATGAGGAGTACTTTCGCACCTTAGATGAGAACACGGAGCTGGTGGCTGTCTTTCCCGGCGAACATTGGATTGATGTGAGTCCTAAACCTGAATAGATTTTATTGAGCTTACATCCTTCAAGAAATTAAATTCCAGTTGAGGAAATTTCCCTTAAATTCCCAAATTTAAAAGGATAACATTACCCTAATTTATTTTTTCACCCAGTGACTAGCACTTAATTGGATAATTCGTTTTATTTGTGTCCCTCTTTTGTCTGCCATAATGACTAATTGCATTATTCTCGGAATGCCAGGACGTTAGGATGCTCGTGACCACGGGAACCGAGAGTTTGAGAGATTAAATTAAACGCTATCTCCACTCTGTTTACAGCCCACGCACTACGTGACCATAACCACTCCGCATGGCACCGATGTTGGAACCGGAAACGGGGACCCCGCCGGCGGAGGTGGAGGCAAAGGAGCAGGAGGCGAGGGCGATACCACCGATGCCAGCAACTCGGAATCGGCTCGCATCCGTCAGTTGGTGGGACAGCTGCAGAACAACCTTTGCAATGTGTCCGTAATGAACGATGCGGATCTGGACTCACTGTCCAACATGGATCCCAATTCACTGGTGGACATTACGGGAAAAGAGTTTATGGAGCAGCTCAAGGATGCGGGAAGGTAAGTGGGAAACTAGGATATAGAGGATATTTCCACTTCACTCATTAATGTTGTATTCTCTCTACTCAGACCCCTTTGTGCCAAGCGCAATGCCGAGGATCGCTTGAATCTTTTGAAGCTGCTTAAGGCTGGAGCCATCTTCTGCTCGGAACGCTATCCCGAGGATGCGGAGGCCATTGATCGGGAGATTGGGCGACAGTTGAATGAGGCAGAGAACGGACAAATGAGCACCACGGCGACCAGCAATACGCGCACCATCGAGGTGGTGCAGTGTGACAATCAGAACACGACGATAACCATCACAGTGGGTGATGCCACCAGCACATGTGTCACCACCGGTGCTGGTTCCGCCGCCGAGGTGGCGGCCAATGAGGCCAATGCCAATCTCAGCGGAAATCCGAATGCCAACGGCGACATCTGACTGCCCATCTTGGGCAGCCTCAGGTGAAGTCTGCCGGCCCAGGATTAAAGGCAGCGATAGTGCAGCAGATCAGAGCGAATCAAAATCATGGAGGATATACCATATATACCATACCGACGACATCAGTCCTGCAACATTGGGTTAACATAAATCGTATTTGTAGCATGTAATTAGGCACTGCGAACTCTGCAAACGAAACGAAGACGGAGGAATCAATCGAGAACAAAGTCACACAATGCTTCATAGTATCTAAGCGCAAATGAAAGTTAACGAACAAATACACGTACTAGAGTTAAATGTCAAGGTCAAGATTTGAGAATTGAGATGTGAGATTTCAGATTTGAGATTTGAGGAGAGAGTGTTTTAGCAATCACAGTCAGAAGAAGAAACGTATTAGAACTTATACACACAGCCACACAGAATCGCAATAGGAGAACTATATACACACATTTAATCAAAGGTTAGCACAATAAGTATTATATTTGAGATAGAGACAGACCCAGGCAAAGGAACCCCGAGTTGAACCCGAATCGGATGGAATGTCCCAGGAATCCTTTGATTTGCTTGTCGTGTGAATTGTGTTTTAAGGAGTAGAGGTAGAACGGAGACGCACATCAAAAATTGTTTTTAGACCAATGCCATTGTGAATGTCATTCGTTAAAGGCCAATTGAGACTGACTGTATTTATGTGTAATAGGTTTTTTCGTGGTTTGTGGGAGCGGCTTGCGACGAGTTTTGAGACGCTTCGAACGCCCCTAGTCCCGCCCCTCTCCAGCCGAACCGGTAGCCAAATGAATTTAAGCCAACAGCAACCATTGTTAGCATATTAAATTAAACAATAAAGAGAACCCACACAATAAAGCAAAGGAAAATCACCATTGCCGTTGCCCCCTAATTGAAGTTGGTAACCTGTCTACAATTCGAATAAGCAATAAATGGGAAACCGAAACCCGAAACCCGAAAAAATAACAAACAAACAATGAAAACCGAATGCAAACAGAAAACAATTATTAAATCTAGTGAAATGCATACATCATACAGCATACAGAACAGAACAACCTATATACACGGAGTAAAAAAGTAATAAATAAATGAGTATTAAAGCCAAGTTGATTGAACTAATCTCGATGGCGGACGATGGGGCGTATGCGCAACGTGTGCGGTGTGTGCAACAGGGCGTATGCTTGCTCTTCTCGCTGGCAAAAGAGAGAGTTTTTCGCAAGAGCATTACAGAGAACAGTGGAGACCAAAGTACTTCCTTCTAATTGCATTACTCGCACCGACTCTCGACTCAACTCGACGCGACTCGACTCTTCCTTCGTGACGTCACAGCGCCATGACGTTTGCAGGTCCTGGCTAGCTGACACCATGCGCTGCCCTACTAACACAGTTCAAAGCTCCCGGGTGTGACCCAAATTCATGACGACAGCGAGCACCTCACTAGCCCCCGCCCCTAGCTTCTTCCCCCAGCATTGCTGTGGGCGTGGCCTTTGGCTTTGATGAATTGAATTCTGGCTTTGTGGCAGAGGAGATGCTTCCACCCACCACCACCACCACCTTGTGCATATTTAAAATGTTCCCTTATTAACGCAGAAACCTTTTTAATTTGTACTCTCAGCAAATGCCTTTCTGCTCGGATCCTTTTGTGGGGAAGCAAAGCAACGAGCGGAAAGCGGAAAGCGTACAAAAAAATATTAAAAATGGAACCGAAAGCATTTGTCTGCCTTTGACTGCTTTTGATGTGCGCTGTGGCATGTGCGGTTCCTTTTGAACTTCCGAGCAGCAGCGGGAGACATTTGACACTTGATCGAAACCAATCGGAGTAATAATACATAAGTATGGCGATTAATATATTGGAAAAATATATATGTTATTCTAACAATATTCCAGGAAAAATAAGTTTATTATTTATATACTTTAAATTTAAGACACATTTTTTGAGGGGTTTAAATCCTTAGAGTTTATTTCAAAAGCATCCCAGATTATAAACTAAAAGTAGTTTTAAGGCTCATTAGCTCCTCAAATAGTTTTCCCTTTAACTTTCCCCTCTCTCTCTCTGTGTGGAATTTCCTTTAAATATCTATAAGTTCTGTAAGCCAAAACCACTCAATGCTGGATTAATTTTTGGTAAATATCAAATCGGATTCCAGCACTTTATTCCACCGCCATTCATGCATCATCATTATTCCTTAATCCGGTCTTCGGCGCTTGTTGCACACAACCAAGAGGGGGAAAATGAGGAGGTTTTTCCAAGGCACAAATATCAAAGCATTGATGGTGGCGACGGCAGGGGGTGTGGCTGGGTAAACAACATATCGAGTGAAGTCCCTAACGAGTCGCTTTTCTACCAAACGAGCACATAATTCTCTACAATTTTTGCTGCTTGCCTTTTTATACCCTTTCATGGTATTATAGTTTTAGTCAGAAGTTTGCAACGCAGTCAAGAAGTCATTTGCGAACTTATAAAAAAGGAACACAAACTAGGTTCAAATTAATATTTTTTGTTAGAATTCTAAAGACTCTCACTAGGACTCTTCCAGTTTTCAACATTTTTTTTAATCTAAATTAAAATAATGCTATTGTGTATTATTTTACCCTTTAATTTATATATTTATTTAATTTTTATATATTTATTTCTCTCTCCCAGTCTCTCTTTTACTCTATTTCGCTTTTTTTCGCTGCCTCTAGCTCAATGTATCTGTTTCTCCCTCTCTCCCTCTCTAGAGACACCACCTCTTCTCTGGTTGTCTCTGCCTATCTCTTTCTCTCCCGCTCTCACTTTCTCTGTTCTCTCTACTCGGAGACTATAAAAGAGGCGCTGCAGCCCCGCTGGCCTCAGTCTGTGCGCGGCCTTCCCGGTGTTTACATCTGTAGTGATAGTGGTTGTGATAGTGATTACCCCTCGACCTGATCATCTGTCCAAGGCAATATGTATGGATAACCAGGAGGAAGTTCACTTCGATGATGACCATTAAAAGACAATTGAAGTCAACCAGAAGATAACTATACACTGGAAGGAACTAAGCAATGACGTGTCCCTTTCCTGCGGTAAGTCTTAACCATGACAATTATATCAATATATACATAGATGTTATAAGAGGGATCAAGCCTACATCTAGAATCATCTGTGCTAGCAATGCATTTATTTTCCAATTAATTTACTTATTGCCATGAACCCCAATACTTATTGTTAATGTAAAGTGATACAGCAATTTATGTTTATTCAATTTTTCAATGTTTTGTAAGCAGTAACATCATTAAAATTGTCAAATAGATTGAGATTAATGGATCTTTGGCTTATTTTACGGATAACTTTAAAGGTATACACACTTCGGCTTCCAGAAACTAGCTTTCTTTATTTTTTTGTTTATTTTTTTCTTTGCTTTTATACACACATTTCCCCCGAAATAAATGTCAAGGCTAGGGTAAGGAGGGGTTCGAGTATCCTTAGAGGGGACTGCGGAGTTCATGGTAAGCAGTCGCCGCTGGCTGTTGGGCATGAGCTTGTGAGTGTTGCACATAAACAAGACGCTGTGTAATAGATGCCGCCGCAATGGGCATTACTAATGCGCCCCGTGGCACATTTCCACCCGCATGCGAAGGGGTGGCAGGGGCGGTAGGGGTATGTGGCGCCGATGCATAAGCTTGCCGCCTCGCTCCTGTGTGTGTGTGCGAGTCCTTTGGGCGGTTCATAATTGTGCAGCCAGAGCCACAGGCAGCCACAAACTGCTGCTTAGATTGCCTCATTTGGATGTTTGCTTATGCCACCCCCCCGGAAGTCATTATGGGCGAGGATATAGGTTCACCGGGAAAAAATAAATATAGCTAGTTGGTAATATTTCGAATTCTTTAATATACAAAATTCCAATGCTAGATTTTTTATACTCTTGAAGAGTGCTATAACATCAGTCCGAAGCTTAAAACGAAGTGAAGGAGCCAGTTCCGACCCTATAAATCATATATATTCTTGATCAGCATCAAAAGCCAAGTCGATCTAGCCATGTTCGGAAGAAAAAAATGTTTGATATTTTTCCCAAAATTTTATAGGGGTTACATCGTGAAAACTATCAAAAATTCGAAAAAATGTTGATTTTATTAAATTTAAAATCTAATATGCAGATTTATTCACTAAATAAAAACTAACATAGGACAGCTTTCCGAATTGAAATTAATGAATTTTTGGTCATGTTATGATAATTGGAAAACTTGTATTTTCACAAAAAGCGATTAGCGAATAATGATATATATCATATTAAATTTTAGATGTTTTCACAGAATTTGAACGTATTAGAACCTTTTCTCTTCCTTTTGATAATTTATTCGAAGCAGGAGTTTCTTTGACTTAAACTTAGTAAAAAAATTTAGTGGTTATAAACTTTTTTCCTGGCCTTCAAATATTTCAAATTAACTTAATAGAAGCAATATTTTTCAGTGTACTCACCCCTCAGACACGAAGGCAACTGTCAGTAATGAAAATTTAAGCAAGTTTGGCAAACACAAATATGAAATTAACCATTTTGTTTATCGTTATGCAGTTGTTGACGCTGCAGGTTATCCGAGCGAACGACCTTTGGCAGGACCAGCTGCAGAAGGAGCAGGTGGAGGGGGAGCAACGCCAGGGGGTGGCTCTGCACCAGGAGGTGGTACATCCTTGGCGCACACCATGCATGCAACAATGTGTAAAGGACATGGTTCCAGCCACAGATCGGTCAGCGGAATGCCAACGATATGAGCGTGCATTCGACTGTTCACTATACTGCGTTTTCGAAGTGCCGATTTATTGAGATATGTATATCCTGTGAGCATAATAAATACGTATGGGACACAGCCATTAAGCCCACCATTTGACGTGTGCAAACACACGCGCACTCCAATAATAATTAAGTATGCCATTAATGGTGAATGTAAATTGCTTGTTACATACCAGCAGTGTCTGTTTTCTTTCATTATTTCTCATTTCACAGTCTGCATTTATTTTAATTTAATTAAAATGTTTGTCGTTCCATTTTTCGCATTGACATACCAATACTTTTTTCCATTTAATTTCATTTAGGACTGTCGACAAACCGTTGGCAACAGCAGGCGCAAATATTTGCCATTTACCCGCATCGCAGGGGATTTTTGTTTTGTTTTTTTTTTGGGGAAAAATGCATCAGCAATAGCAGCATATCCCTGACTAAATACCAAAGGTCCTGGTCAGGATCGAAGGTCATTAATCATCGCCACATGCGACGACGACGACGACGAGAGCGTGGTGACCTTTGCGATGACATGTGAGTTAATTAATCTAACTGCCCAGACACAACGAAGGTCACCAGGCATCGCAATTAAACGTGGCAGCTGATGATGAAGGGAATCCTCCAGCGCCATCACCATCACCTCCTTCCGCCATTTACCTTGGCGGGACGGTAGACGCATAAATTTCAATTTGCAACGCCATGAGCCCTGCTGCCCCGGTCTCTATGCATTTAAATTGATGGTCGTTGTGTGCTGCTGCATATGCGAAAAGTTGTTCGCGCCACGCCCCAATGCGCAATTAGCGGACCGCAGCCCATAAATAATTTCCACCGAAAGCCTGCGGGAAATGGAAAACGTAAGGCGGAAATGATTGCCCAGAAGGGCGAATAAACAGATGAGCGTTCAGGCTATGACCCTGGCATTGGGCTTAAATATGCACAACATGTTGTCAGCTCTCCGTCTCTTCCATATAGTGTGACAATTGAATGGAAATCGGGTAAAATGCAGTTAAGAGGAGACACACAGCATCCAATCTGTGGGATTCGGATCCCATAACGTGACGGGAGCCGGCATCACGTGCAGTCCATGTACACGCGGCGTATGCTTAATGTTTTCTGCCTCCGACTATAAATATTGAACAACTGAGCCAGATAGATCTGTGTGGCCGAAAAAGGGAAATTCTATGAATTTTAAGCATTCCATTTGCCGGGGCAAATCCGGCTTTCTATAGTTTTGGGCTAATAAATCGCGACGGCTTTTGTGTTTGCACCTTTGTTGAAAACTTTCTCCGAGGACACTCACTCGCCCCCCCTGCCCAGGATTTTAATTATGCAGCCCAGCTCATTATGCCAAGTGACATTTCTGCAGCCCAGCAAGGGAGACGGAGAGAAGGGGAAAGAGTTTTTGGCCCAAATTGCAAACTTTATTTTATTGCAATTTTAAACTTTGCCCTTACCCTCAGAAAGTTCAGGCTAAAATATTTATATTTGCTAGCAGAGGCCGCCGCCAGTAGTGCCTGTGCTTTGTATATGTTTATCTTCTGCTTTCTGTGGTCCTGTCCCCCCGGTTAAGTGGAACTATTTGCAGCTGCTCCAGTAAACTTTACCCACTTCACAGGTCATAGAGTCCCGATCCCAGGACATGGCACCACTGTTATCCCCTGGCACGCCCCGCTAACAGCTAACAGCATCTTAACAGAGTCCTCTCTCACTGCTGGTGTCCTGCTCTCTTTGCCAAAGCTCGCCGAAGGTTAGACTTTGCTGTGTGTCTTTGCATGTCCTGCCGCCGCTGCTGCTGTCTTTGCTCTGTGTGTTTGCACTGGCCGAAGCTGTCGGCAAATTCAACGAGTCGAGTCCTTTTGGCCAGGCTTATTTAAATACAGCACGCACAGACGTCTGGCAATTTATTCCAAGTTCGGCCGGCTTTTGTTGCACTTGTCGGCCGCTCGCGATCTCAAGTCGGAAATCGCGTGCTATAACAATAAAATGTGAACAATTCGGTTTTAAAAATTGTATGCGCCAGGTAATGGAAGCACAAAAAAGGAGTAAAGCGAAAGTTTGGTGCATGTGAAAAGGAGATTTTAAGTTAACAAAGAAAGTTGTGGCATATAACTAAGGTTCTTTGTGAGGGCTTCTATTAAAATACTGTTTTAAATATTTATAAAATATAAAAGACATTAAATAATAAATTCCGTATATAAAATTCAAGGATATTTAATGCAAAATGTATACAAGGACTTAAATAATTTAATATTACCGAATTGGCAGGTTATTTGTGCTGACATAAAGCTAATTTTAAACCTAAAATATAATGTATTAAAGTTATTTTATCCTTTTTATTATAATGATATAAAACTAAAATGCTTATAAGGCAAAACGAACGAAATAAAGCATTTCCCTTTCTTTGTTCTAGCTTTATTTCACAAAAGGCGGTCCTTTGTTTATGTTTGCTTTAAAATAGAAACATTTTGCAAATGGTGAAACTTTTTTTTGTCCAACGAAAACCCAGCCAAAGGCTGAACATTGATTTTCTCCTAAAAACATTTGTGCAGAGCAAACTACATACATTTGGCCGTAATAACAATAACACAAAGTTTGGTAGTTGTGTTAGGCATTTTTCGCCCCCACAAAAGTGCCATACAGAATATTTCAATTATCTTTGAAATTTGACTGGCTTGTCGTAAATCATGCTATCCAACTACTACCACAGCCAGTCCAAGGAGTCCAGACGTGAGACGTGAACGTTTCCGAAGGAGACACGACCACAAGCACAACCAATGACAGAAATGAATGCAACGGCGGCTGCCACCGAGGAGACAAAGGAGGCTGGTCCAGAGCCAGGACCGCCGGCCACCGTTGTCGTACCTGAGCCCGAGGCGAAGCCTGCGGTGCCACCGTCCAGGCAGCGAACACTTACGCGCACCGAGGAGATGGACGCGGACGGCGACGATATCGAGCTGGACCCGGACGGGGACGATGCGGCGGACAGCATCACCTTGGAGCTGGCCTTATCGCCGCACAGCAGCACGCCCACGCCGCCGCCCACCACGGCGGACGAGGACTTTGCCCAGCTGGACAACAGCAAGCCCTTTAAGGTATGGTATCCATGTCCTTCCCCAAGCTCCTACATCTTTTGTGGCGCTCGCTGACCAGTTCGTTAAGTGATTACTACGGCGCTATTGTTACGCTAACAGGAAAAACCATGGGGGAACAAAAAAATAGAAAAAGCAAAATGCTCGAAAAAGTTTGAACTGGAACCCTTCAGTTCTCCGGCGGCCACTTCAAAGCTCCGACGTTGAGTAGCCTCATCGACATTGGTGCTGCTGCCGCTGAAGTGTTGCTGCCGGTGCTTTATACGCCCTTTAAGCATTCAGCCAACTTTTCAAATCCGCTGAAAAAGCAGGAGATGGAGAGCGGGACGTGTCCTCGTCCCTGCCAAAGAGCAGGTCCTTCCTGGCAAACTCTATTTGCCTATAAAGGTAACAGGCGGACAGCCAATTTAGTGCACAGGGGAAAAGGCTAAATAATTTGATTAGTTTACCTTTTTGGCAAGGGAATGTTTTTAGTTCATCTCAAAGAGATTCTATATTAAAATATAAGTAATTTTTCCCATGAAAGAATATTGAAAATTATAATACATTAGCTTAGGTTTAAGTCTTTTGATCCTGTTTTGGATACCAAGAATGTAATAGGACCTTTTAAAACTTCTCCAAAATGAAGTCCAATATAATGTAGGGTCTTAAATTTATTGCGATTTCTAAAATAACTTAGAATATTTAATATGTAGTCTTACTAAAAGTAAATTCCGATTCCAATTTACAAAAATAATTCGTTTAAATTCAAACTCATTACAAATTAAAGTAGAAAACTTATATTGAACCCATATTAAAACGTATTTTAGCTAAAAATCAATGCTGAAAAATCACATTTAATATAAGCTTGTAGCTTTATCCTTTCCTAATTCCCCTGGACCAGCTTAAATTGTTGTTTCTGTGTGTGTGCCTGGGTAACAATTGAAATTTAATTAAAATTTTCAAACTGGTTCGAACTGTGCCCAAACTGGGCTGAAAAAGTAGCATCCGCATGCGGGCGCCAAACTGGCTCGTATATCACAAAGTCCGCCCACTGTTGCCACTCAGCCATATCCTCATCATGCCGCCAATCACCTCCAGAAGCCAAGCCCACATCTAAGCCACCTAGACTGAGGGGATGGGCGATAAACGATAAAGAGGGGGCGTCTGGTGGCGGTGGCTGCACCCCTAATCGATTTATTGTGTGTTAACGGCATTAAAGCCACCGCTATAACAATATAAATTGGCCGTAAGATCAGCATCTGGGCGGCCTGAATTGATGATGAGCAGCACATCAAGTGGCTGGCTGTAAATTTGCCAGGCGATAGGCGAGAGGAGCAAGAGGAGCAATTAATTGGCAGCTCGATGTGGCCCAAACGCGATGTCATTTGTCAGTGACAGAGGCTGGGGCTGTTGATGAGTGAGCGCGGGCCACGCGTCGTATAAGTAATTCATGCGCATTTCAGCTAATTAATAAGCCCGCAGTTTGCCTGCCATCGGACACGGGTCCCAGCCCCTCCTGCCCTATCGAGAGGGATCTAGGTAATTCAGGAAACTGCAAATCTCCAGCGGCCTTGCCTGGGTTAGCTGATACATGTAGGCCCTTTGACTAATTGCTCGGGTAACTGGAGGCGAGGTGATAATCCCGGGGCTATTAATATGTCAAAAACTGGTAGTACATTTTCACAATTCACTTAGAGTTTGTATAAGCCTTTGATTTCCACATAACACCTCTATGATTCTGTAGCCTTATTGATTGTCTAACTAAGCCAAGTTAATTGGTTTTGGCATTGGCCTTAGGAAAACATATTCTTTATTTAGTTTTACTTTAAGGAAAAATACTCGACGGCAACATATTTGCTCATACAATTTGTTTAGTTCTGAGTTTTTAATTGTATTTATTTCAGAGTCTCACTTCTTATTTTCCTTATTTCCCATTTTCTGCCCCGAAGGAAATTCAGTGGCAGCCCGCCCGCCCAGACATACATTTTTCTGGTGCTGCTGGTTCGGAAATTAAATTCCGGAAAAATAAATCCCATTGGGTTTTCCTGGGTCCCCCCATTTTCTCTCAGGCTAACGCGTAAATGCGTTTTCCATGTATGTCACAGTCGTTCGGAGACTTGTCCACCTGTGTGGTCTACCTTTATGTATGTAAGGATTTCGGAGAATGCAAATGGCTCAAATATAAAGTCGGAGCAGCCGCAAAATGAAGAGATCCTTGGGTCGGAAATTAAATTACCAACAGAAGCAGCAACAGCAACAGAAACAGCAACACCACCGGCGAAAACAAACAATGGCGGCGAGAGCAAACATTTTTCGGTGAATACGCCTTGTTGAGACATTGCGTATACGCCACGTTGCGCATTAAGGCAAATAAACGAGCATTATTCATGTCCAGGCAGCCGTGCAACTTGACAACGCCCCGCTGGTGTCCTCAGAAGAAGAGCCAGACAGACAGCCGTCGACGTAATAAGTAAGCTAATAAGTACGTGTAAGTGCGGAATGCGACAGCGAGTATGAAAGCAGTTGAGGACTCATCACGGCCCACGACATTCGAATGACTGAATGCTGCTAATGATTTCCAGCAGGACACTGTGGAAAAATGCCGAGACATTTATATAAATAAATTTCTGCCAAGTGTTCTACTTACAGATATTTAAAATGTTTGTTTATCATATTTATTTATTAGAACTTTCTTATATATTTAAAAGAAACTTAGGAGCTAGGCTCTTATATTATAGAATTTAAAAGAATTTAATGGAATTTCGTAGAATTCTATTTTCTTTTCACACTTCCTAGTGTGTTGCCCTGACATTTTCATGACAATCATGGGAAATTAGTGCGTCAATGTCTCCGATAAATGCCATGGAGCGTAAAGAGCTGCTGGACAATGGTCACCGCAGGCGCACATCAAAGCAATTTGGGCTTCAGGGCCTTGGGACATTTGATATTACCGAGGCTACCATTACCTTAGACCCGGAATGGGTTTTAGGTTTGGCTTTCACTCCCCCACGCACTCCCTCTATTGTGTTGGGCTTCAATTTGTAGTCTATAATTGCTGACATTCGGCCGTAATTTGCATTTCCTGACCAGGCCCTAAGTGCTATTAGGACAACAGATTCCCGGACACACAGAAGCTCTCGGCTCTGGCTTCATGGCAAATTCATGACTGCACCTCGGCTCGACCCATTGTCCTTGTCACGCTCCTGGCTTGTTTGTCGCCAGCTTCACTGATGCTTTTGGTGCTCCTGATGCTCCTGATGCTCTTCATGCTGCTTCTGCTAAGCAAACGAGGAATTTACAGGGACAATATTGACGCTAGGCGCTGGCAAACAAAAATGCGAGGCCAAATTCCCCCAAGAGCCCAGGCCGCACACGGATGTAAATATTTACCCAGCTACTATGCCTGTACCTAGGCCTGTTCCAATGAATCCTGTCACCGGAACAAGGACCCTAAATTCGCCGAAAAGTGAAACCGCAAATCAGGCCGAGACACAACGAGTAGAGTGCAGCGTGATGGAAGCAATTTGCCACGAACTCGCACTCAATAGAAGGAGTGACCACCAAAAGTCAGAGTTCAACGAGGGCCACTTGAAAGGCAAGAATATACACATTGTTTGGCTAGCGCTGCCGGTTAAGAAAGCCAAGTTATAATGACTTTCTGGCCCCCACACAAAGGCGAAAAACTGGCAAAAAGCAAACAAAGCCGGCGGGCATTGGCATCTGGCCCCAGACTTGTTGCCGCTGCTGATTGAATAGTTTCCCAGGGACCATGGGCGACTCAATCGCCGTCGTGGAAAAGGGAAAACTCTGATTGTGGCAAGAGTAGCTTCAATGGGTGGGTACGCACCCAACCCAGTTCTCTTTGAAATTCGCATTAAATGCACGATAAACTTTCATTGTTGTTGCAGACTTTGCGCCAACTAAGCAGACTCTGGCCAGACGTAGTGGTGTTGGCCATTTGATGGATTCCCTAAGCATCGTATAATTGGTTTAGCAGACTGTCCCAGACGGGTTGATGGATGTGCTGTTAGGAGAGGATTGTATCCGATGATGATTCACATTCAGATTCCGATTAAATGCCCACAAACCGCTTGACAGTTGCCTGTCAGCCACGGAGACACCTGAAGATCTGTCAAAAACGAAAGAAGGACACCTCCTTAGGGCAATTTATCAGAGTTTCTGGGAACCAAGGGGGCGGATACGTAATGTCCGCATTAAAGAGGCGTTGGCAACTTTTTGACTTGGGGGAAGACGGGACCCTTTTCCAGCTCTTGCTTTCTTTCTACCTTTCGCTTGACCCACCCAAGCATCCAACCATCCATCCAGTCATCCATCCAACCATCCATTCTCGTCCTTGTTGGAGCCTGTTTGGCATCGACAGCATTATGCTTTAAATATTTTAGTAGCAATCTTTTAGGCCCAACAACGGAGCCGGAGTGGCTCAAACAAATGGCATGGAGAAAAAAAGGTAAAAAGAAATATATATAATCGGTGTGCCTCGACCGACCTGTACCTTGACCTTCCACCCATTGTCTGGGGCTTTATTGTTATGGCAAATGATAAATTGATTATTTGTAGCTGCCGCTGGCTTTCCATTCAGCTGGCAAACTCCTCCTCCGAAAATGTATATATCGCCATTGCAATTAAGCTGATATTTTTTCTATACTTATTCTTATCGATGTCGCCGCGCTTCGTTAACTTCATATTGTTTTTATTGGCACAAGAGGAGGTTGGGCCTGCCTTAAGGGGCTTTTGGTAAATTAAAGCAAACAAATGTTTAAGGCTGTTGTTTGTTGTTATTTCCTCGACAGAGAAAGGGAGGGAGGGAAAGAGTGAGTGTGAAGGAACTCGAGCAAACATTTCTGGCCAAGTTAATTTTCTGGTGTAGATTCAAAATTAATTATGCAAAAATACGGCTTTAAAGAAATATATTTCTAGGGACTATAAGTACATGCAGCTTAGTAATCCTTCATTATCGTTGCCATGCAATTTGAGGCTTTTCAGCATAAAATTCCAAGTATTCTTTCCCCACAATTTCAGATCAAGGACATTACACGAAACATACGCAAGGCGGTGGTGGCCACAACCCTTTCAGAGTTGCGCTTGAAGGTATCAGCGAAATTTGAGCGGAATCAGCCGGCGATACACCTGGATTGCGATGGCACCGAGGTCGACGACGAGGAGTACTTTAGCACTCTGGAGCCAAATGCCGAATTGATTGCTGTCTTTCCCGGCGAGCAGTGGCGCGATGTGAGTGGTTGCTACCATCTATATCCCTTATCCGTTGTCCCTTATCCTGGCTTTGGCTTAACCCCTTTTTCCCTTTTTCAGCCCAGTGACTATAATGCCAATCTGCGTCGCACATCGCTGGATGCTCAGCGTCTCCGGCGGCTGGTGGGCAAGCTGCAGTCGAACTATATCAACGATGATGACTTGGACAAGCTGTCAAACATGGATCCCAATTCCCTGGTGGATATCACAGGACGGGAGCCCAAGGACAGCGAGTACTCCTCGCGGAGCGATGCGGCACGCAGGTCCACGGAGCTATCCTGTTAGGGTTGCTTTATTTTTGGTATTTGGTATTTAGTGTAAACGGAGCAGCACACAGGACATAATTTGTGTGAAAGGAGCTGTATATATGGGAATTTGTACGAGTTTATGAGGCAAGAAGAATTGAAGGGGTATTTTTGGAAAATGTTTTGATGGCAGCAACCTACATCTCCGTATAGATCAGATATAGAAAGTTGTGTATTTTTCGAGCCCACATTGTAGACTCCACCCTGAATGTCTATTATCAGCCGCTAATTGTTCCTAGACCAATAGCTGTGTAACGAGCCACAATCTGGAGTGCCTCAAAGGCCTAGCTCCAGTCCTAGATGACCTCACCCTCCTCACAGCCTCTCTATATGTATATCCCCCTCAGAGGACGATCAACGAAGTGCAGCTTAGAGTTTAGAGTCTGTCTAAGCTTGTAGGTATTAATAGTGAAATAAATATATATAGATATATATTTTCCATAGCAAGGTCCTTGTGAATAATGTCACACAGAAACAGTTTGGGTTGTTAGGGAGCAAGTACGATTTTACCATAATTGAATCTCAATTAAATCAATTAACAATTGAATAAACGTTTAACACACCCGCACACAAAGAGACGTTTCACCCTTTTTTTCGTCGTATTAATGCTGCATCAATGATCTAGGCACTATTTGCTGCACTAATCGAAGGGTTATAGAAGCCCGTATTTAACTCGATTTACATGGCAATTGGAGATTGTAATTTGTGACTTGTAAAAACAAACAAACGAAACGAAAAACTGAAAATAAATAAATGGATAAATGTGTGAAAATTAATTTTTATCGAAACAATAAATTGCTGTTTAATGTGAAGAAGAGTTTGTGGTACTTTATCCGATTTACTGGCCAGTATTTTTCTTACTTTCAAGGCTAAGCAGCTGCAGGCCGAGGCAACTTTTGCGAAAATAATCGAAGAAATCTGTCAGCTTGGGCAGTTTTCAATCCCCTTATCGATTGGGTTGGAAAATACCCTTAAGCCTTAAAGTAACTATATCGAGTGCTTCCTCGACTTAAAGTGCAATTTTAATTATGCCAAGAGCCCGTGCTCCTCCTCCATTCATAGGCACTTCCCTTTATTAGCTTACCAACTCAGACCCTGGCAATGCCAGGCCAGACATTTTTAATTTCAATTTCCCCTGCTGCTGGTCAGCTGCAGTGGCTCATTCCTCGAATAGAAACAAAAAACGAGATAGAAACGAAGGTTTGGGCTATGTGAAATATGGCCAACAAAGTTCACTCACTCATTGCCCCGAGTGTTCCTAGTTTTCGTATCCATGTTAAAGTGTTCCTTTCACCTTGCTTTTGGGAGGGGAATCCCTGGCAGGCGTTGAAGTTTAAATGAAATCGAGATGGACGGCTGTGGATTTTACCCATAACAATCAGTCAAATCGGAAACCACCAAGGACCTGACCACAGAATGCGACGAATTTTTAATACGTTTGATATCGGGCCCAGGACAATGCCGAAATGCCAAAATGCGAAAGGAAGTGTGTTACACATGGCTGGCTGTGGAAAAACACCGGGAAAAGCTGACAGATAAAGGCAAAATGTCAGCCATACCGTTACGGTCAACCTTCAGTACGTTATATATATCTGGCCAATATGTGTGTGTTTGTGTTTAGCCAAGAAACTCATTTCCCATGCAACTTTCTCTGTTGGAACCTTAAAAGAAAACTTCGAATGTGCCACTTGGGCAGGTGTGGCAAATAAGGTTATAGCCGCCAGTTGCGGCTTACATTAACAACCTGGCAGATTTATGCTCCACTTATGCACTTCCCGTTCGTGTCTCCAAACAGCTCATCAGGAGGAGGTGGGCTTGGGTCTGGGAATTTCAAACACCTGAGTTCCACCGCCGCGAAAAGTCCTTGGCTTAGCCCTGCTCCATGAATGTCGCGCGCGGCGGAAATGTCATTGTTGTTTCGAATCAAACGCATTAAAAATTTATTGAATTTATTTTTATGAGTTCTCCGTCCTGTGGGGTTCACCTTTTCCTGTTTCAGCTCCTGCTCCTGCTCCTCGTGACACTGCACTTAAGCTTTGCTTTTCCACTGAGTGGAGCTACGTGCATGTGTAAGAATACGTATGAGGAGGAGGAAGCCTCCTTCCTTATGCAGCTGCTTGTCTGTCCATAAAAAGCACTAACAGGGCCAAATCCCGGCACTCGGCAAATGTCAATCAAGAGCAATTATCAGGATTCAAAGATTTCAGTAACTCGCAAGGATGTGAATAAAGGAGTGGAGAGAATGAACTCTTTAAATAAATACAGTTTTCTACTGTTTCCATTTCATTTTATTCATCGTTATACAATTCGTTCTAGCAACTAAAGAAAATAATAATAATAATATGCAAAAAGTTATGAAAATAATCGAGAGAAGGACGTAAATGCTCATCGACTGGCGCAGTTCCTGGCCCTCCTTCGTACGGCCTGGAGCCTGGCGAATTTCGGGGAGGAAAATCATAAATGAATAACAATTTCCGAATAACAATATCAGGATAAGGAGTCCGGATGTCGGCATGAGGCTGGTCAGTAGACAAACTTCTTCTGCTCGCCGTACAGCTGCTCGTAGAGGGACGGAGGCAGGTGCTCGGCCAGGAAGATCTGCAGCTTCTCGGTGGTGGTCACAGGCGTGTAGCGGGCCATGGGGAAGGTCCTGGTAACGGCATCGATGAGGACGCGCAGCGTGGGCTGGATGTCGGATGCCTGGCAGGAATTGAGTGGGGATTAAACGCTCGTTAGCCGCTGGACACACGGAGAAGAAACACTCTTTTACCTGGCGGGAGTACTTCTCCACCGATGTCATGGCAGCCTCATAGTAATCCTCGCCGTAGGTCTTCTTCTGCTCCGAGGAAAGCGCGTTCCACATTTGCTTGGCCTGGACAAGGGAAGAAAGGGAATAAAGTGGTTCGAGTTAATGAGTTCTGTTTTAGTTATTTCCCTCGCCCACTGCTGCTCGAGGATAGTTATCGTAAAAAACTAAAAGCATAACTGGGCTTATCCACAGGGAGAGAAAAAAGGGACCCTTATGGATATACCTTTTACATTTAAAGATATATTAGAGAAGAAGTAAGGTAAACAATGTCCTGCAACAGGAGAACTACCAAAGAACTTGTGGTTATAATCTCGTAAGGATTTTAGATGTCTCTGAAATATTTTCCCAGTAGCTTGAACTACAACTTCTGAGAGATCCAAAGGATATGTATTTTCTCTCTCTGCACACCCATTTGCTGGCCACCATAAGTTCCATTGCCGCCATTAGCTTCTCTTCTCACCTGGTCGCGCAGCTCCGTCTCGTTTAGCCAGCCATTGCCGGGGGCAAACTCGCCGGCAGCCACCACGGACACATCCACACCCCGGGTGCGCATCTCCTGGCGCAGACAGGCGGCGAAGCAGTCAACGGCCGCCTGGGTGGCATTCTGGATACCCCTCACAGGCGACGGGACACGATTCAAGCCGGAGGTGAGGAACACCACACGTCCATGGGCACGACGGACCAGCGGCAGGAAGATCTGGGTTAAACGGGCAACACCTGGAAAGGACCAAGAGGAAACTTCAAACACTGCAACCCTGGCGATTTGATGGCGCCACTAACCGAGCAGGTTGAGGTCCAGACTCTTGCGCAGCACACCGAATGGAATCCACTCCAGTTCGCCCAAAGCTATCCAGTGGGCGCAGTGCACCACCGACCAGAGTCCTTCGGCGCCATGGGGCAGATGTTGGGACACATAGCGAGCAGCTTCCAAAAGCTAAGAAATAACGGATAAAGGATAAAAAGGATATAGGTGGAGACATACACTAAAAGCTTTAAGGAGAAAGCTTTAGGGACTTACGGTCTTCTCCGAGGTGACGTCCACGTGCAGCAGCTTCATGCGGCCCGAGGTCTCCTCCTTGAGAATCTTGGCCTCGTCGGAGTCCTCGATGGGCGTGTTGAAGCCAGCATAGACGGTGAAGCCGAGATCATCCAGCTTCTTGGCCAAATACCAGGCCAAAGGAGCCTCGCAGCCGGTGATAAGGACACCCTTGCCAGGAGCGGAAACCTGCATGGAGAGAAAGTAAATAAATAATATTATAATTAATGAATTTACTAACAATTTATTTATTATTTCGAAAATTCCTATATCCCTATATATGTACCTTACTAATATTTATTTATACAGACTTTCCCCACAACTCATTTTCAAAGCAAAAGCAACCTTCTAAGCTAAGGACAACAGTGAAATTCCCAGTTGGTAATCAATACAAACCTGAAATATCTACGTTTTCCTTTACTATAATTCCAGGAATTATGTTTATTTTCATAGCCAACCTGATAGACAAACTTAAATCACGATAAATATAGTTTTTTCTTTCGTGTTATTTCTGGCCGTGTAATTAGGAAAGGTAAACGAGTCATTGCTGCGGCTGTTCAACTCTTTTGCCAATTAACGTTCAATAATTGTAATGCCAATTAGACAGGAGTTGTGCGTATGTTTGGGCGACAGAGTATCAAGTTCTTTGATTATATTTACTCGAAGGCGCCTTGTCAGATGTTTGACCTTTGACCCACACCCGAAATTAAGTGACGTTTGTGGGCTTTAAGACCGGCGGCCACTTAAAAGTCGAGTCACAAAACTGGGCTTAGAGGGCAGCCGCCAGTTGGCAACTTTGTCAGCGGCGATTAAAGTTTTTCCCCCCGAGCCTGGCCTGCTTTCGATTTCAAAGCGAAAGTCCGCAGCTGAGATGGTCCAGGGAGTGGGGAATATGGAGTCTCCTTCTCCATCTTCGTCCTCGGACTGGAATGGGAATGGTGTGTTGGGGGCTGACTGTCACAGATATTTGTCTGGGAGAAGACGTCCAAGACGACGAAGACGGGGACAATGATGACGATGGAGAGTTGAAGTGGGCGAGCAGGAAGACGTGTGCTCCCTAATACTTCCGCTTTAGACACGCGCTCCCGTCAGGACTCGCAGTGGGACGGGCAGAGTCCTGATTCTAGGATTCTGTGGGCAGGGATAGTGTCATAATTCATCATGCCATTAACCAATATAGTTCGCCGTTCGCCTCAAGTGGACGTCTCTAGTGTGCGTCAATCGAAGGACTCGAAGGGAATAGGCAGCCGGTAAAGGGAATGGGAGGTGGCTACTCATTGTTCGGGCTATTAAACCGTTATAAAGTGCTCGTAAAAATTGTTGAAAAAAAGAAAATAGAATGGCAAGAAAGAAAGAAAGCGGGCCAAGACGGGTGTATTATTATTGGCCGTGCTGTTGACACCCATTAAGACTGGCCGACATTTTATTGTGGCCATAAGTGTTTGGCTTATCGAAATCTGTTGGCCGCTGTTTGGCGTTAATAAAAACACAAACACTCGTGGGCGAAAGTCCACTTCTTCAGCTCCAGGAGGAGAAGTTGCTCCTCCAACTCATTCCTGAGCATCGACCGCTGTCTTTCTAAGTTCGTTCGACAAGTTATGTTCCTGTAGTTTTTACGCGAATCCACTCTAGATACAGTACGTTCTTTTGACCAAAACTTTGGTTCAACTTTTGCAGCATTCGGCGTCCAGCAAGCCAGTTTATTGCGGTTCAGCATAAATTACTTTAAACTTTGCTGGTGGTAACTAAAAACAGCAACTGACTTAACGGAATTGAGCAATTAAAATGCAGCAAAAAGCTGCTATAAAAGGAAAATGGATGGCGAGCAGAAAAACCAAGCAACTAAATGTTTAGAGTCAATTAAAGTGCATTGGGGGAAACCAGAAGGAACTTGCTGGGCAGCTTCTTCGCTGGAATCCTTTGGCTGGTTGACTGGACCAGGCATTGGTTTTCAACCAACGCTGGCAATTATTGGAAAAAGCTGAGAAGATGCTATTTTCCAGCACCTCTCCCCTTCCCCTGTGACGCAACTTCTAAGCCATCAAATTAATCATAACTTTGACAAGGACAATTCTTGATAAAAATTCAAGGAATTGCTGAGCAAAATTTGATTTAAAATGGTTTATGGAAAAGAAAAACTTACATTTCATTATAGAAATACTGAGTTTTATTAATAATTTAGATAGAATATTAATTTGATGTGAAATTTAATGCATAATGAACTGGAAGTTATAAACTTAACTGTAACAAACTTATATATTTTAGGGATATCATCCACAAATCCTTTTATTTATCCCTAAAATATGATAAAACAGCTTCAAAAATCGGTTTGTTCTGATGGCTAAAATCACATTTAACCCTGTTACCGCAGTTTTCCCGGGCCACGAGTCCCCTTTATCGCTTCCCTTTACCCCGGGGGGGAAAAAAACTACAAAAGCAATACTTTCGGCAGTGCAGTGCAGTTGTGGGCTACGTGCAAGGCATAAAACAGCAGGACGACCGTCGACACAACCGCCTGCATTTTGCCACCTGCCAACTGCCACCTGCCACTTGCCACCTGCCGCCTGCCACTGTATCCTCTCCCCTCCCCCACTGCCATTTGCCACCTGACATCGCACCTCTGGGCGGTCATGTCGGCTCTGTGAACACACACACACAACAGGACGATGGCTTGCGGTTTTTATAAAGCGTTCCCGAAATAGAAACCAAGTTGCATGCACCCCGAAATAGCACACGGAGGGAGGAAGAGCACCAGGAGGAGGGGTCGTGCATGTCAGACATTCCATTTAACTGAGCACTCGGGGCCGGAAATGCATGGCGAGCATTGGAAGCGAGTAAGTCAATAAGGAGGCAGCTATGGCTACAGCTACCCATCCTGGGCTACTTTGGCAATTTAAATGCATCCTTTATTGCATTTTAATTGCTGGCCAGACTGGAAGTGGAGAAGATTTATTCGCTGGCCAGGAGTAGCAGCACCAGCAGCAGGTGCTATCTGTGGTTGCCGGAGAGCCCCAAAAATGTAGCATTTACGCGCACTTTTAGCCACAAAGTTGATAAATGGCAGCGGTGCACGCGATTCCGGTTGCAGCTCATTAACTCTGGCTTACGTACACCGGGGCGTATGCGCAATATTTATATAATGCATTATGCTACGGCGCAAAAGTTAAGTTAATGTGTAAACTGCAGCAAGTTAGCAGCTAGGAGAATTCCCAGCCACGTCAAATTATGTACAATGGTGGTAAGGACATCCTTTCGCCCTGCCAGGACTCGCTGTGTGTGCGTGGGCGAGCTGGAAGTTATGAGTGTAAAATGTAAACAACAATAAGGAGGAGTCCGGCTGGCTCATGAACCTGCCAACATGCGCGCCTTCATTTGCGTGAATAAATTTATGACTGTCCAGGGGAAGGACCAACGCAGTAAACACGTTCCATTCCTATTTCGAGGATAATGCGGAAATACTCGTTGTCCGTATGTGTGTGTGTGTGTGTGGTGGCGTGAATTGTGTGAAAATATTTTTGCGGAAGCGAATCTAGTTGAGCTGTATCGATATCCCATAAATATGCTCACAGCAAGAGCATTATTTAATGACATAAATGGGTTTCATTGGGGCAAAATAAGAGTTATTTATCAAAGCTACAGAAATATCTTGAATATAAGTTAAGAAAAAATTGTGAATGTCGTTTTAAGTTATCGATTTCAAGATTCAATTTCTTCAATCTATGTATAATTAACAATAGAGTTCAGGCTTATTGTTCTGACAGGTGGGATGAGCTGTAGGTGTTGCGGCTAATCTTCAAATTCAAAATTTTTATCGATGCTGATCACGAATATATATGATTTATAGGGTCGAAAATGATTCCTTCACTTAATTCCAAGCTTCTGACTAAAATTCAAATACCTTTGCAAGAGTGTAAATATCGATTCAAAGAGTTTTCCTTAAGATTCAGGAAAACTCAAGAAATTGATTAACCTCGCCTCCTGCCAGACCATAAACCAAGTTCAACCCGGAAGTAAAATAATAAAGCAGTTTTATTATTGTACTTCCGGTAAGAGAATAAGTATTCGTAATAAATAAAATGAGTATCGAGAGTAAACAGATTTAATTCCATGCCTGGGATACCATTGAACCCCGTTCGATGAAGCCGGACTAACGTCTCGCTTATCGGTCCGAACTTTGCTTTTATTATCTTATTTTTATCTCATTCTCACTCTCTCCCTCTCTCTCTCTCTTTATCTGGTCTTTTTTTTTTGTTTCCCTTTTCTGTGGCGGCGTTATCCTTGCAGACACATAAACCTCTCAAGAAAACGGGACACGCTTGACCGCTCAAGAGGCCCCGAAATAAATCTACATAAGCGAAATGGTGCAATCTTTGGAGCGCGGGTACCCGGAGAGTTTAAGTGAAAAATGGCAAACAAACCGCATACAAATTGTCCTCGCTGTGTCACCATGCCGCAGGATACACCCACGCTCCTTTGTGAGCAACGAAAGGCGACGAAATGTGGCCAACAGAGAGCGAGTACCACAGTGAAAGAGAGAGATACAGGCCAAGAAATGCGAAACAAAGAGAGGCACGCACACGCATGCACGCATATTAAATCAGTGGCTAAAAATAGACACCAAATAAAATACAGACCAGGGGGGAGGGATGTTAGCTCCACCAAAAAAAAAAATATATATATATGTATATAAATTAACTAAAAAATTTGAAGAGGGAGGGGCGGTAGGGCGATGGCCACTGGACAGCCAAGACAAACGAACGAGCGGCGGTCGCCAAAAGTCATTGAACGTATTAAGCTGTAATAAATTAATTAACCGGAAAGTTAAAAACCATTTCTGTGTTTTGCTTTCCCCTACACACACACACTCACACACACACTCACACACACACATACAGAGCACGCACGGAGTGTCCTGGTGGCGTGTGGCAGGCAGGTCCTTTTGCCAACTTCACGCCATCCACAGACGACAGTGTGAGCATTAAAGGCTTTTCGCATTGCGCATACCACACGTTGTACCAGCGGAAGAGACCTAGGCCAATTTGCAGCTTGTTTCTCTGAATCGTATCTCCGCGCGTGTGTGTGTGTTGTGTGTGTGTCCTGGAGAGCGAAAGTATTGGTAACAGAGGGATTCAAGTGTGTGGCAGACAACACGCAAAGCTTTGACTTTGTGCCAAGCCAGCCATTATGGC